TTATCTATGTACAAGAATTATTAATTTATAGATTTAGATATTTTATTTTTTGGCCCAAAAAAATTTAGATTTTAATTTTTATTTAATATAAAAGCTTAAGAATTTGATATGAAAAATTTCCTAAATCTTATCCATGAAACTATGATTTTAAAATAAAGTAGTAGTATCTACTTTCAAGATGAAAATCATTATGACAGTAGGAAATAATTATAAAATTAAAAGCAGTAATGGGCTGTCACAGTCGTGGGTTGGCTGCAAACTTCAAAACTTATCATTTTGTGGATTTATAGTTTGATTTTGTTTTAGCATATATGATATTGGATAACACAATGAAGAGTAATTTTTATTTTTAAAAATAAAAATATTTTTAACACATTAGTTAATAATTTTTTTTAAAAAATACGTTTTTAGAACTAAAAATATAAATAAATCCAATATAAACAAAATATTATTTGTGATTGTTTGATAAATGAATATAAAAAAACAAAAATTTAGTTTGTTGATTAAATGAATATAAACGAACAGAAATCAAGTATATTTACGAATTATTTATCAAATATTTTGTAACAAGTAAAATATAAACGAATTTTACTAAATTTGCATTATACTGATATATCTATTTAATTAATTAATTTTGAAATATTAATCATAATAATTTGTTAAGTTAAATAAACAAAAATTGAATCTGTTAAAAAATTATTCCTTAAACGTTTTATTCATTTAGGCATTATATTACAAATTACTGGCGTTAATTTCTTCAAACGGTTTCCATTCTCATATATAACCATAGTCATTCTCATAAAATCATTAACCTTAATTTCCAATCATTGGAAGAGAATGTTATTTCAACTCATACAAGTGGGATAATTCTTCTGGCCATTACTCGTAAAAGTATCATTGACATTGCGGGTGGTCTTACTGAATAAGTTTTTGCTTCCCACAAGCTATCCAACTCTCTTCCTCAACTTTTTTTATAAACATAATTTAATTAAGACTTTTACAAAACCTATCGCTCTTCTGAATATGTGCTGAAAATAAAAGAAAAAAGAATTTCTTAAACTGAGTCAGGTTGAGGAAAGAGCTGTATCAGTGGATGAATTGGTAGATGCTGACCAAGTTTTCTGCATAGGAACTGATATGGGAGTTGCTTCTGTGGACTCAACTCTTGTCGGCATTCAAACAGGCTTGATTGAGGATACGAAGGACTGGATTACCAAGATTCCCTAATTCTTTATCATACAAGTAACGCATTGCTTACGAAATAATTTCTTATTGATTTATTTTATTTTAATGTACAACCAATGAACGATAATCCAATAATTTTAGGTCGCATCATGTAAGATTTGATTCTAATTTAATTTTTTGTTCACCTAATTCTAATAGTTGATGTGGACACTTAGTTTATCCGAAACAAATAATAATAATAATAATAATAATAAAATTAAAAATAATAATAAAAAAAAGAAAAGTAAAAATTTGTTTCAATTTGACAACCAGAAAAAAAAAAATTTTTCCCCCCCGAAGCTAGTTTTATTAAAACTGCACTTTTCCTACACACAAGGGGGACAAAAAAAAGAAAAAACACAAACAGAGTTTAGGAAGATGGCCAGAAAGAAAAAAACAGAAAGAGAAATCTATGGAGAAAAATCAGAGGGAAAGAGAACACTGTTAGAAAAAATACAGAGCGATTTCTTTTTTTTTTTTTATTGGATCATAGCTATTAAAAAAAATGCACAGGCATCAAAAAAAAAATCACATCCTCAAAAGATGATACAAGCAAACAAAAAAAAAACACGATGGTCCTCTCGTCAAAGAGAAACCACCAGCAAAAATATATTGTTTGTTAAAAAAAAAAAAAAGAAACTGGAATTTAGAAGGCTTAGGATTTTTTTTTCTTTAAGAATTCAGTGTGAAAAAGGTGTTTAAAAGGTCAAGGAGAGTGATTTAGAAATTTTTGAAAATTTTTAAAAGTTTTTTGGGTTGTCGGAATGTGGAAAACGATGAATTTTTTTGTAATCATTGTATTTTTGGACAACGAAAGCTAGGTAAACGGTCGGAACCTAAAATATGCTTAAATTTTTAGGTATCGATTGAAGTTTTTGACGATAACATGACAATCGACCAGAAATTGAGCTTGTATGACGTCCGTCGAAAGAAACAGTTTTTGGTAGAGAGAAGAGAAAGGAAAATGATAAATTTTTTTTTTTTTTTTGTCTTTTATAACATCTTCAAAATGACCTCATTTTAGTGTTTGAATCCATGCCAACCCATTTGGTTAGTTTTTTTCTTTTATGTTTATTTTATGTTTTGATTTTGATTTTATTTATTTTATGTGGATTTTTATTTTTATTTTTTATGAGGATACTACTACTACTATTATTATTATTATTATTATTATTCATTTTTTAAAAATGAGTAAAAGTAAAATAAAATAAAAATAAAATGTAGATTGGGTGAAATAAATTTTTTTTTACAAAAATAATTATTTAAAGAAAATTAAAAATTTTTTTAAAGCAAAATATTGCTTAAATTTCACCAAAATGTTGGAATAATTTAAAAAAAATAATTTTTGCTAAAAAATAGTAAAATAAAAAATAAGAACTAATGAATTGTTTATGTTAATTTTTTAAATGTAATTTTTAGAGAAAATTGAAAATTTTTGATTTTTTTAAATTATTACAAGTAAAAATATTTTTTGGATTTCACCGTAAATTTTGTATAATTTTAAAATTATTTTTACTAAAATAAATATTTACTTAAGCAATATAAAAATAATAAATAACAAATCAAAGTGTTTCTTTAAACAAATCTCTTAATTACTAAAAAAATATTTTTTGAATTTCACCAAAAAGTTGGGATAATTCAAAACAAAAAAAAATAAATTATTCATTTAAATAATAAAAAAGATAAAATTAATAAACAATAAATAATAACAAATATTAAAATAATTGCAATCAAAATTAATTAAATATTTAATTAAATCTTTTAATTATCATTAATAAAAAATAATTTTATTTAGGATCTCGTTAAAAGTTGAGATCATCCTAAAACCTAAATTTTTTTTAAATTTTTAAAATTTCATAAAAAAATTGGAATAATCTTAAAATATGTTTAATAAATTTTGGATTTTACAAAAGATTTGAGATAATCCTAAAATCAATTTTAATAAATAAATAAAATATTCTATGATGAATTTCGAGAATTTTATGAATGTTCAATTTTTTTGAAATATTTTTTAAATAAATTTTTTTTATAAATTCCGTCAAAACGTTAAGAAATTTATAGAATACGAAATAATAATGATATTAGTTTCATAACAACAAATGTTTTTTAAAAATAATTTTAAGAAATTAAATTTAAATATAAAAATACCACATTATTAAAATTAAAAGATTACATATGTTTAGTTGATATCATTTTTCAAACGAGCGAACATGAAAGTGTTAATACTTTCTTTATTTGTAATGGTATTTTCGGATCCAATCTAATTTGGTAAATTTAAATTTTTTTAAAAAAATTTTAATTAATTTTAATATTTTTATTAAAAGATAATATTTTAATTAATCAATCACAACTTATAAAAAAATTGATGACAATTTTATAAATTTTTATCAAATCTAATAACCTGAGTTCTTAAACAAAAAATCTTTATGACAAATGAGGAAGTGAAAAGTATATAATTCAAAAAGTAGATTGAAATAATCGAGTGAATTTGGTTGTTCAATTGGGGTGAGAAGTTCAGATGGAACTAAAGCTCCAAAAGCTGATCTCTGACTCTGAAGGTAGATTTCAACCGGATGTGTATTTGATATTAATTTTGTTTTATGAGTTGTCTAATCAAATCTTTGAAAGTTAATTTATTATAATTAATAGTAATGGCTGCCCCTTGTTATCCTATGTAATCTAATCTAAGTGTTAGTTAAATCATAATAATATTATTAATCCCCGCAAACAATTTATTTTCACATCAAACTGTCCATAAATTTTAAATTCAACAGCTACCATCACATCCTCTTGTGGAGTTAAAATTGTAAACAAAGTGATTAATTTTATAGGAATGAGTTAAAAAAAAAAAATCACTCGTGAAAGGACTAAAATTTGAAAGTATAAACTGTAAGTTTTATATACTATTTATTTGCTTTATGTAGATTTATTGAAATTAGAAATTAGACTTGAACAGTCATCACTCAAATCTCAATAATTTTAATTTTTTTTAATCATCATGATGCAATTTTTTATATAAAAAAAATTAGGCTTTAGTGGGGGTGGTAATAACCTCTATCAGTGGCTGACAACCTTTGATGCTATGGTGTCTAAAAATTGGAAAATATGAAAAATTAAAGGGAATTTTGAATTGGATACCCCAAAATTGGAAAATATGAAAGTTTGAAGGAAAATTTTTAATTGAACACTCTCAAAATTTCCCAATGAGCACTCCAAAAATTAAAAAACAAAAAGAAAATTTGAAGAAAATATTTCATTGAACACCTTAAAATTTTTTTATAGACATCTTTTTTTTAAACAAAATTAGTAAATTCTGTCATTAAAATTGATAAATTTGTTCATAAATTTATATATATATATATATATATTATAAGTGAATATCTTTGAAAATTTTTTTCTAAATCTGCTGCTGACCCTGTTGTATAATTAATAAATCCATTGCATGAGATTGTACCAAATTAAGTAATCCAAATATATTGAATCAGAACATGATGTTCCAATAATTTATCAAATAAATTGCAATTAATTCATTGTTTAATACTCCTTGGTCCCAAAATAATTGTCCTTGGATAAAACTAACTCAAACAATTATTTAAAAAAAATTTTCAAAAACTTAAAATTAAAATATATGGTCTGCAAATTTTGTTTCAAAAAATATATATTTTAAAATTTTAATTCAATAAATTAATTTAAAAATAAATATCAAAGTCATGTTTGTTTGAAAAAAAATCAAACAAAGACCCATAAAATGGGATAAAGGGCGTGGTAATTTTTACATTTTCAATTAAGATGTGAATAAACTTTAAACCCTTGTTGGAAAAGTGAGTCTCTTATTCCAAATGGGTTGTCAAAATTTTGATAATATGATTGTATATATATAGTGTATTTTTTAATGCTATAATTTACTAATATGTAGTATCATATTCAGATTTGGATATGCATAGATTCATCCATATATAGACAGACTTGACGGTTTGCCTTAACAACTCAACAATTATTTCCTTTCTTAGTTTTCAGCTTCTTTGCATCCCTGAAAATTCTCTTTCAAATCTTAAATATTTCAGCTGTTTTCTAGTCTGACTCTGAATTTTCTTAAAGATCCTTTCTGGGTTTTCTTTGTTCTTTGTTCAAAGGCAAATATAAAAGCAAAAAACCATGGTTCAGAGAAGTTCTTGCATACGCAATCTGGTTCAATCCTTATGGGCTGCTTCTTTTCCATCCAAGGTAAGGTATCCCTTTTTCATATATCTTTAATGTTTCTGATTGGTCGGATTCTTTAATAATATGCAGTTGATCTTTATCATTGTTACTGCTGTTGTTTGCGTGAAAAGTTGTCTCTTTCATTCTTCCTTTAAGAGTATCTGGCATCATTCTTCTATGTTCGTCGGTGGATTATTCCATGATTCTAATCTTCTGCCACTCATCATTCAACTCTGTAATAACTTATGTCTGATCTGTATTCCAGATCTTTATATGGGTGAATAAGTTTGACTTCAATCCTAGGATGTAAACGATAAGTTGGGGCTGAGAAGTGCAAGTAATTTGTTTTATTGATGTTTTATAGCTTCCATATTGCCGTGGGTACACATCTCAGGCTGCTTCTTCTCTGACAGTAGCGAGTCAACCATCTGCTTGCAGGTAATTCCATGAAACAGAGCAACAGCCTTTTCTCCTGCAAAATTCTGCTAAAACACGGTTGCAAGCCCCGTCAAGTTTTATCAATTATTCATGTTTTTTAATTACATGTCGTATGGGGGAAAAACTTTGATGAAGATGGTTCTTGAATTTCTTAATTAAAAGTAATTATATAAAAATGAAAATTAAAAATCAAAAGTGATAAATTAAAAATTTTTGTTTAGCTACAAAGTCCATGCATCTGTTATTAACTCAAAAAAACTGTTTTTGGTTTGTAAAATTATATATATAAAAAAAAACACATGAGAGTTGCCTTTCATAATGTTTCTAACATTGTCAGAGCTCTGGCAAATCTAGTCAACTTTGATACTTGTACAAGAATTTTTATACTTTGTTTTTCTTATCCTTTGCTGGAATATGAATATACGATGGAGCCAAATGCACGCCATGTGAAATTATGGATAGAAGATTGTGTTGTTCAGACGCTGAGGAACATGGGAGTTGAGGATTCGACTTCTTCAAGATAATATATTATATTTTGATAATACTATTATTTAAGTTTTTCTTAATTTCTCTCGCCCTCCAAATTATATCATTAGAACACTTGTATTTGTGATAATTTTTTTTTAAAGTTTTTAATTTTTTTTAAATTTTTTATCTTATTATATATTTAATTAAAGAAGATATTACACAGTTTAAATTCTCTTTAATTTATAATCTTTAAGTGTTATTTTTAGAGATATAAATGATACATCAGTACTCACAAGTTATTCGAATTCGATTAGAATAAACTCAAATTCGATTCGATTATTATCGAGTAGAGCTCTAGCTTAAGTAGCTCGATTTATCAATCGAGCTGAGTTCAAGTATTCTTATATCCGACTTGAATAGCTCGTGAGCTTAATTGAACTTTTATATTTAAATATATTTTTATTATTTTAATTAATAAAATATCTTAAATTCGAGTTTGAATTTGAATATAAATAATCGAATTTATATCGAATATAAAAATAAAACTTATTTTTACATATTAATTGAATCTAATCGAACGAGATCGAGTAGTTCAATTTCTATCTTAAGTGGAGCTTGAATTAAAAAAATAAAATTTGATCGAGCTCAAATCAAATTTTTGAATTTTGAATTTCGAATTAAACTCGAACTCGAGTTTAATACTATATTGAATCAAATTTGATCGATTATATTTTTAGTTATTTCTAATGACATATCAATCTATCTAAAATATAATTAAAATAAATGATTTAAGTTTTTTATTATATTTAAAGATATCAAGATATAAATTTTGATTATTGAAATTAATAATTTAATATTTCATTAATAAATTATATGATTGTGGATAATAAAATGTTATTATTTTTTTTTCTGAAGTGATTAATATTGATTTTTTATTTGAATAATTGAATATTTTCGATCATGACAGATTAAGCTGATTAATTTATTGTTGAATAGGGTGAATATTTTATTTTATTTTAGTGTGCCTAACTTTTTGTTTATTTTGGAAGTGGTGACAATGAGTACGCTGATGTGGATTTAGATAAACTTGGATTTGGTTTGACACCAGTTGATTTTATGTGCATCATGAGATGTTCCAAAGAGGAAAATTTTAAAGAAGGACGACTTACTCGCTTTGGTAATATCGAAATAAGTCCTTCGGCAGGAGTCTTAAATTATGGACAGGCAAGTACCCTCCATTTTCCTTTTTCGCCTAAAAAATTTCCTAATCAAATTGCAACTTTTTTATAATAAAAAAATTAATTTTTTTTACGGAAGAGATTTGAAAATCAGATTCACATTTCTCAATTTTATTAGTAAAGAAAAAAAAAAGAGGTTTGACAATCTTGGTTGTTGAATTTAAATTTTATATTAATTAATTAATGTCATCATTTTTAAAAAATAATATTTATTAAATTAAATTTTTTTTTAATCTTTTAATTAAGAACTATTTACTAATAATAAATATACTTTGACGATGTTGAATTGGTACATTGCTAAACTTTGACTAAAAATCCAGATAAAGATGATTAAAAAGGCCACAAAGCTCTTAACCAACTTAAAAAAAAAAAAAAAAAATTTTGCCCCATTAGTTTAGAATAAGCTAATTCAGTCTCAAAATTCTACCCAGGGCTTATATGAAGGCACAAAGGCTAACCGGACAGCAAGTGGGCGAATTCTTTTATTCCGTCCAGAGCAAAATGCAACTCGGATGAAGCATGGGGCTGAAAGAATGTGCATGCCATCGCCTTCCATTGAACAATTTGTTGATGCAGTGAAAGAAATTGTATTTGCTAACAAGCGTTGGGTAATTAAAAAAGAGTTTATATTTGATACGTTATTAGTGTATAAATTTTATATATTATTAATAGATCAGATGATATCATTTTATTAATAAATAAAAATTAATCTTTAAAATAAATACATAAAAATTAATATTTTTTAAAAAATTTATTTATTAATTAAATAATATCATCTTATTCACTTTATTAATGAGATGCATTATTCTTATTCACTAATAATATATATAATTTATATACTTATAATATATCAAATATAAAATCTATACATTATCAATGCATTGTGCTTCTCTCTTTCTAGTCTCCTGAAAATTAGCCTTGAATTTCTTCTTAAAAGCGTATGAATTGATTCTATGATTACGTGCAGATTCCACCTCCAGGAAAAGGGTCATTGTATGTTAGGCCTCTGCTTTTGGGAAGTGGTCCTATATTGGGTTTGGCACCGGCCCCGGAATATACTTTTCTTATTTATGCTTCCCCTGTCCACAACTATTTCAAGGTGTGGCTTCTTTATAATTCCATGATTTGTTTTTTCCAACTTTGGTTTCCCGTGAAACGCTTATTTACATTCTGATCATCCTGGATTCAGGAGGGTACTGCACCTTTGAACTTATATATTGATGAAAATTTTGTTCGGGCTTCTCCAGGAGGAGCAGGAGGGGTGAAGACAATCACAAACTACGCTCCGGTGAGTAACATTTCAATATCAATATTGAAGGTTTTTCTCATTAATTGCAACTTCTATGAAATGACGGCTACTACTATATCCTATTGTAGATTTATGAAGCATTTATGCCTTTGTTAACAGGTTCTGAAGGCAATAGCCAGAGCAAAAAACAGAGGATTTTCTGATGTCCTGTACCTTGATGCCCTGCATAGGAAGTATCTGAAGGAAGTTTCCTCTTGTAATATTTTCATTGTGAAGGTATTGTTGGAATACAATTTCAAGCTAAAAACTGCCACCTTAGCACATTTTCAAGAGCCATTTACCATTTAATATTCCATCATAACAGCCCAAGTCATGGGCTTGGCCTAGTGCTAGGGTATAATGCACTTATTGCCTTAAAAAAAATCACTTATTTGAACCTTTTTCAGGGAAATCTTATTTCAACTCCTGCTGCAAATGGAACTATTCTTGAAGGGGTAACTCGAAAAAGTATCATTGAGACCGCTAGGGATCATGGCTACCAGGTGACTACCTGATACTTCTAAACTCCCATGTTCAAACTGTCTTCAAATATTGCAACAAGACAGGGAGAGGATCTAATACAAGACTAATGTGTTAGGTTGAGGAACGGCCAATTCTAGTAGATGAATTGGTTGATACTGATGAAGTTTTTTGCACCGGAACAGCTGTTGGAGTTGCTCCAGTCGCTAGCATTACACATCAGAACAGAAGGTAACTGATAGAATTGAACAAATGTTACCATTAAAAAGAACTGAGAGGAAGCTTATGACCCAAAAGAAATCCGAAAATCAGTGTTAAATCTCTATATGACCCTACATTAACCCATGTAATTTATGCATATATTTGCAGAATTGAATTCAAATCAGAGGGTAGGTTGGTCAGCCAAGAACTGTGCTCGACTCTCGTGGGACTGCAAACTGGTCGCATTGAGGATACAAAGGGATGGACGGTCGAGGTCCATTAAGCTCTTGAATGCTTACAACGTAGCAACTATGATTTGCTGTATTATGAACAGTTTGTAAATTCCTATCCCATTTCTCATGGAATAGGTTAAATGTACCTTTGGGCGGAAATCTCCAGTTCTTGTAAAGATTAAAGAACTAAATTCAATTAAGAATTTGGTAGCAATAATTTGTATAAAGACTAAAAAAATTTGTTGAATGTCATCAGACGACAACGGCATATTTCTTTCCTTTGGTCAAGGAAAAAAAAAAAAAACAATGGCATTTCACATTCTAGCACCATTATTTATCTCCATTTAGATGAAAACCAAAATAGAGGTTAATATGATCATCATTCTACTGCTAAAATTTTTCATGCAAGATTCATCTGATCAGCTTTTCTCCTGTCGGTCACGTCAAAGTCATTCCTTAATTAGTCAATCTAAGACATCTTCTTCCTTCTTCCTTTTCTTTCTTTTGCACTTCCGCCACTGGTCATTTGTACTTCTTTCCTCTGTATCTTTTGTTCAATAGACGAGTCGAAAGGGCTTGTTTTTCAGCGTTGGCTACGAAGAAATGGCAAGGGCTGTTGTTGCAGCTGCTACAAAGCTTCATGTAGAAGAAATCAGGACCAAGAAGTTTGCTATAGGCAAGAAAGAGCCCAACCCTTTAATCGAAGATCTCCATCATGCAGTTACTAGCCTCTCGGCTGAGTTATGCACTCAAGATGTTCACTTTCTAATGGAGCTTATTCAGGTTATTGCTTCTATTATTTTGAAAGCGTTTATCTTTAAGGCATATGCATATCACTTTGCTGGGTTTTTAATTTTTCCCTTGTGTTGATATAGAATGCTGAGGATAATGAGTACCCATCTGGCGTACAACCAACTCTTGAGTTTGTGCTAACAGCTAGAGACATACCAGGACTCGTGCACCATCAACTTTTTTGGTTTTTAACAATGAAGTTTGATTCTCAAGGAAGAACATGGACTCTATTTGTAGTGTAGGCAGGTCCACAAAGAATGGAAAGAGACAGCCAAGATTTATAGGAGAAGAAGGTAATATTACCCATTTTCTTTCCTGCAAAATACTAATTCTAGTTCATTGCTTGAAATAAAGCATTTATAGATGCATAGCAATTGACTGTGCAACATGGTAGGCAGAATGTTAAATTACATATGACCCATCAAAGTAACATATTATATTAAGATTTTGCTTCCCCTTTGTACAGGGATTGGATTCAAAGGTTTGTTTCTTGTGAATACACAACCACACATTTTTAGCAATGGATATCAGGTCAAGTTTGGGGTAGCAACCAACCAGGATTGTGGTATTGGGTATATAGTTCCTGAATGGGTTGAGGAAAAAGCTATTGTTTTAGATGTATGTGAGATATATGGGGCCAATAAGATCTTACTTAGGAGTGTAAATGAGATATATGTATTCGTAAGTTATTTGGTTTCGATTCGAAAAAAATTTGAATTCGATTTGATTGTTGTCGAGCAGAGCTTGAACTTGGACTTGATAGCGCGAATTATCGAATGAACTGAATTCGGGTATTTTAATATCTGATTCGAATGGGTTCGCGAGCTTAATCGAATTTTTTATTTTTAATATATATTTTTAATTTTTATTATTAATTTACTTTTTTACCCTTAAATATATATACATACTTAAAAACTCTAAGAAGTCGTTTGGTTCATGAAATTGTAGATTCCGAAAAAAAGTATGATCTTTGAAAAAATACGATATCCGAAGTTTTCAAGGCATTTCGTGTTTAGATTTATTGGTTTGGTTAGGAGGAATCCACATATATTAAATGCTGAATAATTACTATAATCTTATCGACATATATGATAGAAACTTAAATAATTCAATTTGTAATTGAAGTTTTGAATCATCCTTACAAAAAATTTTTATGAGGAGATTATTGAAAACAGTTTTGGCAAAAAACGCTTTTAATAATATCTTTCAATTTTTTTACTAGGAGATTGTTCAAGGCGTTTTTGATAAAAACTGTCTTGAATAATCTCATACAATTTTTTGTAAAGGAATATTCAAGACGGTTTTGCTTTAAAAATACCTTGAATACTACATTACAAAAAATTAAATAAGATTATTTAAGACATTTTTAGCAAAAAAATGTTTTGAATAATCCCTGTCAATATTTATGAGTGGATTATTAAAGGCGATTTTAATAAAAAATACTTTAAATATTCTCTTTATAAAATTAAATGGGATTATTTTAAGGTATTTCTGATAAAAAACACATTTAATAGTCCTATCACAATTTTTTTTAGGAATTATTTAAAGCGTTTTTGGCTAAAAAAAGTATTGAATAAAACTATACAACAAATTAAATGGATTATTATAGATGTTTTTGATCAAAAACACTTTCAATAATCTTGTTAAATTTTTTTTTTCATTTTAAGTTCAACCAAGATCTTTAGTTTTCTTTTTATTTTTTTTGAAATAAGGCTTGAACTTCTCATTTTAACTTGGATAATGATTCATTTGGATATAATTTGAATGGAAGTTGATTGCTTTATGGGTTATGCTTTCGATTACTTTGAACCTTGTCATTTTATCTTTCATTTGCATATTCAAGTTGGATTGATTGTTGTATTAGGTTATTTATTTATTTTTATGATATTATTTGAAATATATCAAATTTAATTGATACAAAACATTTGTATTGAAAAATCTTACTTCAAGTTCGAATTTGAGTACTAATCATCAAGCTTAAAATCGAGTATGGAATCAAACTTATTTTTTACTGATAAATGAGTATATTCAAGCGAATTTAAATAATTCGATTTCGATCACAAATCGAGCTCGAGTTAAAAAAATTTAATAATTTGAGTCGATATTGAGTCGCGAGTTGAGAGTCGAGCTCGAGTTTAAATTTATCACTGTATCATCTCAACTTGGCTCGATTACATCCCTAATCTTACCCGCAACCACCATCATTCTTCCTTTGAAACCTAAGAAGGTGGAAGCTGTAAAGACACAATTGTCGGAGCTGCAGTCTGAGCTTCTCTTGTTCTTATGCAAGATCAAAAGATTATCTGTACGTGCCAACAATAATGACCCAGAAGAAGCTGAAAATGTCTGAGCTATATTTATATACAGTTAGACGGATCAACAAGTCTTTCCGTCTGATATATAGAGCTCATTCATGTGTGGTCCATCTCTCTGCTAAACAAAAGCTCGAAGAAACTGAAGAAACATGTCAGTATTTCGTGTGGAGACAGGCATTCCAAGTGAAGTCTGAAAGCAAGGTTAGTACGAGGAATGATGTAGATGACTGGATTGTTGAGCTTGCTTTCCTATTTGGGAAGCGACTAAAAGTGGAACATCTTCCATTGGCATCTTTGCTTTCTTGCCTACTTCAATGGTAACAAATTTCTTATTTATAATTCAGTCTGATTTCATACTTGCTTCCTCATAGGAAACCATATTACTAGACAACGAATAGAACATGGGGATTCTGAATGTGTCCCTTCTGCATTTTACAGTGCCTTCTCTTTTTGTGTGAAAATGGGCTCTCCTTTGTCGTCTGTGGCTTAAGCATTTGAATTCTTGCCTGCTCAGGTTTCATCAATCCCAGAGCTAAATAACACAAGAGAATCTATCAAAACTATGTTGCAAAAGACGCGCATTACTCCTTCTGGAATTTTCTATGATATAAAGCATAATCGAAAACCTGTTTCTGCCATTAGGATCCGAAGAAGGTTTTGTAACCTTGTTTCGATGTCCAGAAAGAAGGAATTCCCTTGAAAGGTATCTTCTCATTGAAGAAGGCTGTTGCGCATTCTTCTCTGGACCTTGAAAGACATAGTAAAGCTTTGGATTATCTTGGTGTGGCGTCTAATAGTGAAAGTCGATTGCAGTTTTTGAGACTAATAAGTCCATTCCGGTCAATTATCGACTTCTTCTGTGTCGAAGGAGTAGAACACTGGAAGCAAAAAGGAAAAAGATGGTTCTATGGGATCGAAACTCATATAGACTTGTTTTGGATAGATCATGTTTTGAAAATCGGAAAGCCAATAGAGAATTTGTTTCTGCTTTTGCTCAAGAAATTGCTGAAGGACTGCTATCTCAAGGACAAGCTGAAGCAATAGATAGTTTGAGCAAGTTTATACAAATTGGGTTCATTTTTTAGTGTAAGGAAGATGCGGTTGAGTTCTTGCTCATCAAAGAAAATCTACAACTGTTTGTTGAAGACAACGAGTTCCTTAATGCTGCATTTGAAAAGCGAACACATCCAAGGTCAGAACAATTAGGTCCTCTCACACCAATAGCTTCTAGTAAGAAGCGATGCAAATGATGGGTGTGTCTCCCCCGCTACTTTTTGGGAATGATAACTTGTATAATCAGGTCTGAAATTTTCTCATGCATGGTCTTTGTATGCAACTCTCCTGTTTGGACCTGAAATACATTAAGTACTGTTTATGATACTGAAAGTACTTCAGCTCTTTCAATATTATGTTCTGCTTGCAAAGTATATCATGCACACAACATAATGCCGTAATTCCTCTGCATGAATTGATCAATTTTTCAGGGCCAAACTGCATGAAGTGATCATTAGAAGTAGGTACTCATGACCTTAGACTGCGGGTCTAATATGCAGGTGATAGACGTTCTCTATGTTTTTGGGCCTTATCGGGTAGGCTGAGCTTGACCCTATACTCCTAGAACTCTACTTACAGTCAAAGTTTGTAAACAATCTGGGTTGCAAATATGAACAAGGTGGTTTGGACAGGAGGAAAAATGTTAAAATGGTTTAATGGGTATTTACTTTTAATTCTTATGCTATTGTTTAGGCTATATCCATTTCATTTTATATTTTCATATATATATATATATATTTTTCACTTCTGGCAAACTGAACAGAAAGGATATAAAAACTTCACTGTTGATGCTATAAAAAGCAAGAATTGCCCTTAACATTACTTATGGCACTGAAGAAAGAATCATGGTCTTTCAGCATGTTCATGTCTCTGCCTTCTCTATCCCTATCACTCAATTAAATTTTGAAATTGAAATTATAACTCCCTGTCAAATTAGGTCATGCATCATCAATTAGAAAAATACTGATGAATTAAAAACATAATGGATATCTATCTATATAACTCCTCTTGAAACATGGGAAAAAGGTGTCCCTATGTGTTAGTCATTGCAAATTCTGAACAAATACAATTGGTCTACAATCAAAAAGTCATCTGATGCATGCATGTTCCCTTAGCAAGGAACTAAATGGAGTTTGAATCAGCAAAATCTGAGAGATGGAATTACAACTGTCTAAAATGGACCACTTATGAACTGATGCAGGTCCAAACTTCTATTCTGTCCAGAAATCTATATGTAATTTTCTACATGTTGGTTCCTTGTTTGACATAGTCATGTCTTTTCTGTTGATTTTTTTGGAGAATAAACTTTTATGTTCCCTTTCACTGATTATAAGCCACAAGTTTAATTAGCACAATTGTGTCTGCCTTATTACTTTGGGGATGCTCCTTCACCAGGCGTGTCTATGCTTCTTGATGTCTTTGTCACCAATATATCCTTTATATACAGCTAGTTTTCATTGTTGAAATAGTGGAGTACTGATTGTCGTTAAAAGCGGCCACGTACGGATACATTACCTACAGAAAAAGGCTAATGTACCGCGCAATAGTGCTGTCCATCTAAATTAGCCTATTAGTCACCTTATTTTTTGTATTCTTTTTCTTTTCCTTTTTTAAATTTTGAGGCTGAGGAAACTGAAAATAATCAATATATACTATCCTGCGCGTCTGGTATGATCAGCTCAGCAGAAAATGAATCCTGGAACTGGGGTGTTCAATAAACGACATGGTTAATAGTGTTCTCGTGTGTTGGCTAAAATAAAATGTAGGAAGAGATCTCACAATTTACATGAAAAAGGGTTTGATGTGAAACGAGGAGGAAAAAAAAATCTATGAACAGAAAATGTAGAACATCTTGTGTTTCATTCTGTCTGCGCATCATAATATATATAATTAACTAAATAGTATATAAATTTTTTTACATTTTGTGCTTGTCAAACAGGGAAAACGAGAAGAGAGCCTGGAGAAGAAAGTTGGCCTGAGCTGTACTGAGGAACATGATTGTCAAAGGAAGATAGATTTTTCCAAGGAGTAGGTCCATTCAAGCTTGGAAATGTTGCAAGAAAGAGAGGGTTGGGTTAACGGTGACCTACTAAATTGACCTTATTCCATGTGCACATTTTGGAAACTAAACCTCTTTTTCCTTGGTACTTGGTAATATGCAATCTAAAACCAAAATGGATTATAGAACAAAATATATACTATTAGGATATTTTTATTAGATTTTTGCTCACTTTAAGAGCAAGTATATATATTATTTCATCTTTATGTGTAAGTAGAGATCTTTAAGGAGAAAGTGGGACTTCTTGGAAATGGGAAAACTACATCTATTCCATATATAGCTTATCAATTTGAAAGAAAATGGAATAGAGGGTGAAAGAATTGAAGTGCTTTTTTTTTTGGTCTTTCATGGCTTTGTTCAAGGATGTACTCCAGGGTTCTTCAGATTTGTGTACAAATCCTGGAAAAAGGTTAAAAGTTGGATGCTTGGGGTTGGATATGATAACCGATTTGCTGCCTTCAAATATATCGGCGTCACTACATGAATAGTATTATCTGTCTTGCACTAATGAAACTACAAATATTTATGATCAGCCCTTCGGGCAGCCAACAACTAGTAAGGTCAAGCGAGGTGTGTGATGTGACGCTTGGCCCCCAAATACGTTGCATCTTCCCCTGTGCTAATTCTTTTTTTTTTTCCTTTTTTTTTTCTGCATCTTTCTGATGCTCCACTCCAACGAAAAAATTTGTGAGAATATTATATATATATATATATATTTAAATTTATATTTGTGACAATTGAAATCTGAATATAAAATTTTTAGAATAAACTGTTAATGAATTATTTTTTTATTTATTAAGTTGTAAAATAATTATATTGTAATAAATTTTTACTGATTTTGAATAAATAAAAATTTAATTTATCCAAAAAAATATATTTAAAATCTCAATGAATAAAAATTAAGTGTTACATGATAAAATTACTTTTAAAATTACAATATTTGATAAAATCATAGTCATAATTCTATATTAAATTTAATGGAGACATCAAATTTTAACATCCTAACGTTTAGTATTATTTTATTCATGAATTATGTTGGGGTAAATAAAAATATTAAGTTTATATATAAAAAAAACCTTAAATTTATACTTATAAAATATTTTTTATAAAATAAAAATTTAAAATTAAAATTAATAATATATCATAAATTAGATGTGAGTTATTATCATCTTATTAACAAATTAATGTATATAGTTTCATTTGGACTTATCATTCCAAGGAAAACAGCAATTCTAATACTAAGAGAAACAAGTAGAAAAAATCCTATTCTCCTGATCTGGCATTTCCATTTTCTATTATTTTTTATAACAAAGTCTTTCTTTATGCCATACCCATTTTTAAAAACCACTGGAGCTTCTTAGAAACATGTTTATCCCTTTCCAGCTTTATTAATCTCTCTCTCTCTCTCTCTCTCACACACACACACACACACACTCTCTCTCTCTCTCTCTCTCTCTCTCTCTCTAATTCTTGCTTCACTGGAAAGATAGACAAATTAGCTCAAAAAGGAATACTAAGAAAAGTATGGGGAGAGCTCCTTGTTGTGACAAAGCTAACGTCAAGAAAGGCCCGTGGTCACCTGAAGAAGACGCCAAACTCAAGGCATATATTGAGCAGCATGGTACTGGTGGAAACTGGATCGCTTTGCCTCAGAAAATTGGTAATAATATATAGTTAAAGATAATCAATCAGCTGTGCTTTATTTTTCTCTTTTTCTGCTACAACAACCTTTAGTTTCATGGTGTCTTGGGCGATTTTAAGAGGGTTGCTTTTGTATCTTAGGCCTTAAGAGATGTGGGAAGAGCTGCCGTCTCAGATGGTTGAACTACCTCCGCCCAAATATCAAGCATGGAGGATTCTCTGAAGAAGAAGATGGGATTATTTGCAGCCTCTATATTAGTATTGGGAGCAGGTATTTGTGGTCCTATAATGATTCATAAAGTTATCAAACCCTATATTTTGATTTCATTTTAAACAAATATTTGTATGCCTAACTACTTACTAAACCGGCATGATTAATTATAGGTGGTCTATTATTGCTGCACAATTACCGGGGAGGACTGATAATGATATAAAGAATTATTGGAACACGAGGCTTAAGAAGAAGCTTCTTGGCAAGCAACAGAAAGAGCAACAGTCTCGTAGAGGGAGCAGCCTAAAGCAAGATAAGAAGAGTTCAGGGAATGGAGAGTCCATGGTTCCTGATCACAATCAAAGCCCTTACTGGCCACAGCTGCCTGTGCTGGCGGCGCCCATACCATACTCAAGTCAAGAACAATGCATTGACAGCCAAGACTCAATGAGAAGGTTACTAATCAAGCTTGGAGGAAGATTTTGTGATGATGATCATGTGATTAATGATGGAACAACTCTTCATCATTTTCCAAATGATTCATCCTCCGCTGATCGGCAACTTTATGAGCAGACTGTCCATATGCCGTCTTATTCTTCTTCTCCCATGGATGCCTTAAACAATAATATTGGTACTCAGTTTGTGAACTCCCAGTACACTGTAAATGGAGCAAATCTGCACATGCTGCAAGGACAAAGCAGTTTTTCTTCAGAACTCCAGGAAATGGCACGTAGCAACCTACAAAGATTAGATGGAATGGAGTTTATATATGGGGAAGGCATGGTCAATAATAGAGCTGTAAATTCATGTGAAAGCATTGGCTGGGGTGATACAAGCTCTCTGGTTTGCCCTCCTGTTGCTTCAGAATATGAAGGGATACAACAACAAGGAATGTTGCAAGAATACGCTTTCAGTGAGTTGAGGTACCCAGGAGCACAATAGCATGCTGTAAATGGAATGTATTAAGTTGGAAGAAATAAGGAAAGAGAGGTGTTGAAATATTGTTAGAGAGAAAACCCTAATAATAATCTGGTTCAGTTATATGTTTGATTTCTTTTGTTCAAGCTTATTCTATCAACGGTGACTGTAATTTATCTAACTATTATTCGTATCTTCGAGAATTCTTCTTTTCTTTTATTGTGTTTTTTATAGTCATTTTTCTTATGCTGATGCTGAACTAGGGAATTCTGAAGCTTCTTGTTTTTGCTAGCTGTGGGCTAGTTGATCAACATATCTCAGATGATTAACTGATGAATGCTATGCATTTTCTTACATTAATATCCACTTGTCATATTAATACATGTCAAAATGTTCCTTGGAGATCCAAACAAACCGTAGCCAGCATGCTAGTTTCCTTTAAAATCCATTGTAGCTAGGCTATAGCAGATCAAGTAAACATAAGTCATACTTCCTAGGCCTTATTGATGCATTAATGGCTACTGGCTAGAACTATATGCATGCTTCCAAACATAAATAAGATCTCCCAAAGCTAAAGCACAAGCGAACATTCCTTAATTCTATCGTCAAAGTGCTTAAAAGTTAAAAACATACTACTATAATTGAAGATTAGCTCTAGGGTTTAATTAATTGATTTAAAAGTTCAACAGCAACACTCAGATTTTGAAAATGATATAATCACATATAATTCAATATTCATCCAAGTGTGTAATGATTGTTTGTTTGTTATAGTTAAGGAGCAGTTAAGGTAATTACTTTCTATTCAGGGAGTAATGAATATATGTATAGGAGTACCAATTAACACCTGCAACCAGCTTAATTCTTTCCAACATGCATGCATATATAGGGAGACTTCCAGGATTGTGGAATATGAAAAAAATTTTGAATCCCATTGTAAGTAGCAGCTCCTGATCATTCACGCCTCCACTTAAACCACAAAAGCAACTGAACATGTCAATGCCCAATTTTCAGGGCCTTCAGGATCCCCATCTGCGCGTGTGAAAACTGACAAGATGCTTCAGACACTTGCTCACCTCTAGACAAATGTGGCAGCAGTTATATACATCCTTTTGTTTGATTGATACATATAGTTCCAGACTACTTTCTATACCATCCAACATATATAAAACAAAAGCTTTGACATACATATTAAAGGGAAGCAGTAAGAACAAAAGCTTGCAGCTAGCCATATATATCTCAGACAAAACCAGCTAGCTAGCTGATCTGCTAGCTAATAATTAAATGTGAGAAACCAATTAATGCCACAGTTTGATGCATGTACTTTGAAGTTTAAAATTTAAAGGAGGGGAATGGATAAGTGAAAAAGTTCAAAATAGTTAGGGTTTTGTCACATTAATTTTTGATGAATGTCTCAATATGTGAGAGGGTGCCATTATTTGCTTGACATCCATTTTCGCCTAGCTAGTTCTAATAATTTTTAACTATTATTTCCATCTAACTGGGTTGCATTTTGCTCATCATATATAGGCAATGATCGTTGATAACTTTCATTGCATTTGGTTTCCATCAATATAAAAATTAGAAGAATCCCATCTTCCTACCAGCCAATTTACTTTTCTAACTTGGCGTCGTCAAATTCTTGTGGTGTTTCTCTCACAGCTCATTACAACTAATCCATTTTGTTCAAAGAGAAATTGATATGAGTCAAATTAAGTTAGCAATTAAGTGCTACTATTGTGCTAGACTCATGTCATTTTTTTTTTTTTTCAAAATCAACTTGGCTTCAATCCCACATTTAAGTACTGCATCAGATTCCAAAACCCTCCAAGGTCAAAAGCCTTATTATTATGTTATCTTATGGACTCTTCAGAGGCTGACTATATGAGTAAAACTAGTTGATTCCAGTTGTAACAATTCGGATAAAAAAAATGCCTTAATTTTTCTTTACAAATTTTCTTGTTTGGTAAGCCATGGTCATGATATCTGTTAAAATTGATTGACAATTTCCAAAAATCCTACCTGTTCTGTTCTTTGTCAAGCTATTCAAATTTCAAAACCGTTGGCCCCATTACCTAAACCAACTTTCAAAACCCAGTTAGTTCGTAATAAATACTACAACAATATTGAAAAATACGTTAGCAAATAGCAAATAACTTTCACAAATCTTTTCACCCTTTTTCTTCTACATTTTCTCTATTTCCACAGCTAGTTTTATATAGAGTGATATTATAATAATAATAATAATAATTATTATATAAGACAGAGAGGCAAAGGGAAGTGCCATAGCATAAGCCAATAATTCTGAAAAACCAATAAACAACAAGCATGTAATTAATATTTCAATCTGTAAAGCATGAAAGAATATCGCTGGTGAAGAAGAAGCAGAACAGAAGAGGTCCAAAACAAGAAACCAAGATTTCAAAATTTTGACTTAAATGAGAGCCACAATCCGTTAAAACGATGACGATAATAAAGCCAAAAGCATCCTTGATTAAGGCCCCTGTGTCTGGAAAGACTTCCCCCTAGCCATAACAACAACCGAACGACCACTTCTTTCCCTACCTTTTTCTTATATTTTATTATAAATCCTCTTTCATTAAACCCAATGTTACTAAATAATCACATTATCTTTCGGTTTTTATATAGTACTGACAATGACACTCACTAACATAAGAAAATTCTATAGCTCTTTTCCTATATTTTGAGGGAAGATAGCTATCGGAAGCCTTTCATTTAGCTTTGTCATAAGTGGGAATGAGAGATGATGATATATAGTTTCTCTTGGACTTCCACTTTGTCTGTTTAAATACACTAAATTAATAATTTATACATAGCTTGCCTGCAATGTACAATTGTACATATATTCCTTATATATAGTAAATTATAAGAGCAAGACTCAATTCTATATATATATATATATATATATATATTATTGTAGCTTGGAAGGCTAATGAAAATGATCAATTATGCTATATACTAATAAATACAAGTAAATTAAGAATAGATCTTTGCTAAATATTTGAAAGAATTTTTTTTTTCCAAAAGAAAGCATAGTTTAAAAATATAAAAATAGACTGCAGATGTTGAAATTTAAAAGCTTCTAAACTAACAATTATAGAGAAAAGACTAAAATGTATAAGTAATAAATTTAAATATTTAATCTTGTTACATTCAAGTCTATCTCTTAACCCACTTCTCTTTGAGTGGTGACTATGCAAAATGCTAAGGTTATAAATTTTGATAATAATAATAATAATAAACTTCAGGATTCTTTCATGCTTAGAGGAATTCAAATTATGATTCAACTCCAAAGATGCATCAATAGGTGTAAAGGTAGAATCAAACAAATTAAATAATCCTTTAACATCCAAAAATTTTTTTTCTTTCCAAACTGTTTCAGTTTCTAATGAAATTAAAACATTTGCTTGAAAATGGCCGGCTGTCATGCATGTTGGTGTTAGTCTTTTAAAGAAATTAAAAGATGAAATTATTATTATAAGCATTTGTTAACATCAAAAAGGGGATGTAGCTCAGATGGTAGAGCGCTCGCTTAGCATGCGAGAGGTACGGGGATCGATACCCCGCATCTCCACTTTTTTCTGTGTTTTGATCAAATTTTCTGACCCAAAAAGCCCAATTAGACCCAAAGTTTGTGGGTTTAGATTCACCCCATTAGGCCCACAATATCCAAAATCCATCTCTTCAACTTCAATTTATTCTCTCTGCTAAACCCTAGAGACAGAGGAAACCGATGAAGTAAAGTAATCTCTTGTGATTCCGAGGAAAGCCCATTTGTGTAAAACAATGGCGCTTTTGGCTTCCTCCGTATTGCCTTCAGCTCTGAATATTAAGGTACTGCTTCAACTTATTTGCTGCATTTCTATAATTGAAATTATAATCCGAACATGAATATGATGGAGCTTTAAATTGAAACAAACTTCAGTTTTTCTTGTCTTTGATACTTTGTCGAAGCTTAAATTAGTCAAATACTCGTATAGGTTAAGCGATTTGAGCACGAGCCTTCTTCTCAGCTTCATGGGTTTCTTTTGCAATTGAATTGTCACCGTCGAGTGTCTCCAAAATGTGGCATGAAAATAACAACGGCGCGGTTTCAGTTTGGCGAGCCAAATAAGATTAAGGAGCAACTCAATTTCATCAAGGAGAGGTTATGGGAGAAAACCCCTGACGCTGTCAAAGATTTTCCTTGGAAGAAAGCTGAGAATCTGCTGCTGCAGAGACTACTTTTTGTAGGAAAGAAGGCATTGAAGTTGTCTGTTGTTACATTTTTTGTCCTCAGCTGTCTGTCTGATTTTATATACTCTATATCCAGAAATCAAGAGTTGATAATACCCTTTGGTCTCATTGTTGGATGTTTGATGACTGATTTCTTAAAAGAGACATCCCAAGAAGCATTTCGCAGCTTTGAGGTATATATATTCTCTGTTCCTAAATATTCTATATCTGTGTAATTGTGTTTTATATGAATGTAATTTTGATTTGATGTTAAGCAGGGAAAGGGCTTGAAAATGAAATGGCTGCTCATGGCAATGGGTGGCTTCTTTGCTGTGGTAAAGTTTGTTTCTACATATTTTGCTATGCGAACTCGGGTGTTTCTTTTGCATGTTGCAAATGGTGGATTGATGCAAGTTTTGTGGCTATGGAGAAGTTTGCTGGAAGAAAATGGAGGAAGGGACGGAGGCAATTTATTTTCCATGCAAGATTGATCTTCAGCTGCAGATGCAGAAAGTTAAGTTCTTTAAGTGTGGCCAAATTCTTTGTTTTGTTTGTCAAACTACATTGTTATCAGTAAGTTCTTTAGGGGTGATCTTGCTTGATAATCTATAAAATCATATATCAATTTCACCTTATTATGATTCTGCTGTGTGGCATTTAATTGAACAAAAGAAATAGTATTTCAAAAAATGCATACAACCAATGATGAAATTCACCTTGTTCCAGATTGAAATGTTGTTAGTATGCTCTGAAATGTCTCCAAAATTGTACAAAAGAGAGAGTATTTGTCTTCGCTCTTTTCAATCGTGCACATCAATATCCACAAGATAGAACACTTTCCTTTAAAACTGTACAATGTAGAGTATACATATCATCGGGCTTTTTGTCTGATTATCTCTGCCCCATAAAGTGTGAAAAGTAAAACAGAAAAGTAATTCATTTGTACAACAAAAACTGTCACCTTATGTACTGCTTCCAATGCCCTATTGTCACCATTAACAGAGCCTCTATACGGATGTTTCTATCAATGTTTCCTAAATTAACAGAGAACTGGGTCCTGGAACGACCATAGATTGACTTTGTTTGCACATGATGGTAACAGAAGAATGAACAGGTTCACTTCGTTCTAGGCCCTCTCCTTCAGAAGTGCGATGAACGGCCCACTATTCATTTAATTTAACAAGTTGATTTCCGGAAAATGTAAACGTACAGATCAAATCAATTAGTAAATGATTCTGGAAGGAAGGAACCATCAAGCACGAGCAACCATACCTGGATTCAGTGACTCTGGATCTTGGGAACTCTTCTTATCTTTATGGTGCCCGGTGCTCCCGGCTGTGGACAAGTCTAGAGAAAATAACGGGGCCTGGCAATAGGCTGAACGGAACTGATTATAAATTTCATCCACCCTCCCCCACTGTTCGTCTTGTCGATCCATCTCTATAAGAACCTGTACAACCAAGCCATCACAGCAGAAAATTGGTTGGGGAGTTTTCTAGAGAGAGAGAGAGGGAGATTTCTGATGCTTACCTGTGCAGGACTCCTCTTAAAAACAGGGGAAAACCTCTGCCTACAGTACTCATTGAACAGAAGAGTGAAAAGTATCAGGGGAATGGTGAAACCAGAAGCAACTGGTGATCTTTTTATGCCAAAGACCCCAAGGGCAATAATTTGTGTCAACACTAAAGAGAATATTGTTGTGTTGTGAACAATGGGCCAGAACTTTCCCCCACTTTCATATTTTGATACATATACATGGAGAATCTGAAAAAATAATGAACATTAAATTAAATGCATTATCAAAGTGTTAAGTTGAATTATTCTGAATCTATCTTCCACTTGACTCAATTGTCATCAACAAAATTATGCTTTACCTAACAGTGAAAATGTAAATAAAATGCTTCCATAACATCACCATGTACTGAAAATACATGAAACATAAAATAGACACCAGGAACACCTTGTACATAATAAATCTGATACTTACACATGCAGATTATATATGCGCCATTATAAGTATTAAAAATGCATAAGCTATTCTAGAATACTGAGGAAATTGAAGCTTAGAATGTAATCCGATACAACAGCTTTTCTGGAGTTGTTAATAAACAACTGTTCTGTTAACAAGGACCACATGTAAGCTTAGAGTATACTTTCAAGAAACAGCTGCTTTCAGTTAGTCTGAGATTTTTGGCTGTCGCCATACTAGGAACCATCATTCCTTTATTTGAACTTCCAATCCTTTTACCTTTACAGATGTTCCTTTAACATTTATTATTATTTTCATTGGGATCACTTTATTGGTGTATACAAAAACATTAAAATTAAAAAAAAAAAGGGAAAGAACAACCATCTCATGGATACTTCAGCAAGAGCTCAGTTCACTCTTCAGATAAAACTTAAAACTTTTTCAAGAACTGAATTCTGAATTGTTTAAGAATTTTAATCTAGACACTCTTTTTCGTCTTCATATTTTTGTTTTTATTTTATTCTTTCAAAATATGCATATCACTCCTTATAACGACTCTTTACCGGTATGAATGAACAAGGGCCCAATTCAATAAAGAACAGACTACATATACTAAGAAGCTTTGTGGGCAAAAACCGAAATTTCCAAATGAAATTGACTCAAGGACATCAAATTGATCAGCCAAAAACTCACCTGGTTCCGATAGACAAGGAAAGCGAGAAAGAAGTAAACCAGCAAGAAGGGCAATATTAAGGGTGCCATGACAGAACAAGTGAAGCCAATGAGTCCAAACAGAAGAAGTCGCGGAATTTCAGTATGGTGAGGGAAGGTTAGAGCACAATTAGATGGATCATCCTCAATTCTTAGTATAAATTTTCTGAACACATTGCAAAGAAGAGCAAAAAGTTGTATTACTTCACAGGACAAGCTTGCCCAACCTGATGATAACACGTAAGTCGTGAAGAACGTAGCCTGCAGGTACTCAAGAACAACAACTACATTTAGAAGTAATCCCGAAGATTCACATTACACGACAAATAAAAGAGATAAGAAGCAATCGTTGTCCAATGTGAATGTGCTGAAAAAAGAGAGGGCATAAAAGTGTACTGCCATTTTTAAGACTTTGCAATAAGATATTAGGTCCTGCTGTGCAGGCTTGTCAAAACCAGAAGTTGGATATCCGCAATTTCAGAACTCATATAAAAAAAAGTTATCTCCAATAGACCAAGATAAATTCTAAATCTAAATGCATGTAAAAATCTTCCATGAAGTTGGAATAAGTGGGGTTTTATTAAACCAACTATTAAAGAGTCCATGGAAAATTACCTGGGTTGGCACTGCTTTGGCAAGTTGTATGGGTATGTCTCTAACACTTGAGAAAACACTCAATTGTCTGATTACGGATCCAGAAAGAACATTAACAAAGAAAACATTCCAGATTGTGAAGTACAAAACTTTAATGCATGCACTCCTTTTCCTCTCACTACGCGAAACATTTCCCTCCATTGTGGAAAACAGCATCATGGTTGGTGGAACAGTATACAAAAATAATATCAGAATCACACTTGGTAGGTAACCTGTTACCAGCCGGTTCATGAACTTCCTGCACAGAAGAACAAACAGGATAGGTTCACAAACAAGTCAAATCTATTCTAGATCCTCTTCAATAATCGCCAGATTTCCTCCTCTTTTAATTCCACTAATAACCACGAAACAGCAAATTATGATGCATTCAAAGAATCAAACAAAGGGAGCCCCCATAAACCCAAAGACTTCCGGAGCTGATCAGTTAGGTGCCACTGGTATTAGCTCCTGAATAATCTTATTCTCCAGTGATTTTCTTTTAAAAAATATATACTCAATTAAACCCCAACGTTTCTGACAAGTTCATGAAATAAATTATTACTAAGCACAAAGTAAATACTGGAAAAAGGAGTCATAGAAAATTTCATGCAAAATCAGAAACAAAAAATTATCTTATCAACACATATTTTGCATTTACACAAGCATCAGTTGTCAGAAGCAAATATATTGCAGTCGGGTGAACAAAGAACAGAGACAGATATGCACCTGAAGGACATGCCATATTAATATTTATCCTTCTATCCACATGTGCTAATGCACAGAAAGAGCTTGGGTGAGCTAAATGCTGCGAAATAATAATAATAGTTCACTATAATAAGTTATATGTGCTTATTTATCTATTCTAGATTGTCCTTTCAGAGCCTTCACTCTAGGTCTGCTCTTACTTCTCAGTATGTGCCACAAACTATTCCATCTTCAAAATTTAAGCTAAGGTGCTCATGTCATACTAAGGCACATGAAATTCCAACCGTTCTAATTTCTATGTAATTTCCAAAAACAAGTGAAGCAAAAGCAGCACTCTATTCTTGGATTCCTGATCTCCTTGAAGGAGTCAATATAAACTTATGATCACTTAGAATGAGCTTAGAGTGGTTTCATGACTATGACTCTTCTCATGGATTGTTTGTGTATTATTGGATATAGTCTAACATGTTGTAGCAATTTCCATATCCTAATTTGTTGCCTCAGGCATCAGCCATGACTGCAATGTCTAATGATAGCAACATAATTGAAAATAACAAGCTAACACTGCTTTTGCAATAGAATTTGTAGAATGATACTCAACTGTTTTAAAATTCCTTTAAGAAATGGAAATGCATGTGATAGCTGGTCTAGTTGAGTCAAGCCTTGCACAAAGGTAACTGGAACAAGAAACACGAACATAAAAGCAATAGCACCTAAACGAGTTGCTAATTTACGAAGCCAAACTTGTTTGTACGGTATGGAGAGGTTTGACCAATAAACATCATCTGGCTCTGGGGCTAGCTGTGTCACCCATAACATGGGATTTGATGATTGAAGAACTTGTGCAGCAACAACAGCAGCATAGCGAGTCCTGAAGAAAACAAAAGCAGCTGGACATTCCTGTATCAGAGGCCAAAATAACATAGGATATCAGTATCACATGCCCATTTCCATCAAAGTTTTAAAAGTTATTAATCAATATTTGCTTTCAAACATCAACACCCAATTATGGCAACAGGAAATGATAAGAATGAAATCACATAGGGAGAAAGTCTCCATAAAGAAATAAAGAAATAAATGTTCAGATAATATAGAAGGCCACTACTATATTTCCATGTCCTTTTAATAGTTAGAATTATCAGTTAAAGTAAATGCTGGCATTCAAACTAGTTGCTCAAATTTAGTAATACAACTTTCATGCATCATCATCATCTAGAAAAGGAGGTACCTAATCTAACAAAGGTACCTCATCATATAAATCATTAAGCTGGAACATTCATACCAGCAAAGGTTCAGAATGAGATTAATAACATGTAAACATCCAAAAGAGCATGCAAAATGCTTTTTAGCATCAAATGAGAGCAATTCCTAGGTGGCAAGATCAGATCTAAATCCACTAGAGTTCTTTGTTGTCAGAGGAAATACTAGATCATGATTAACTAAAGATGCTTATAACACATTAAAATAATCCAAAGGAGATATAAAAGTAAAACAACTTTGAAGACTGGAAACAATATCTGCAACAAGTTAACTTTTCGCAACAAACCACTAAAAGAGCCAACCATAAATGATATATTATTTAAGCATATATACTATGACCCTGAAATCAAAATTATTAGACTCAACTTTTTCCAAGATTTTCAACCTTTTCTCTTTGAGTTGGTTGCAACCCATCAACGCTGGTTTTACTCTTAACACTTTCTGCTTCATTGTTAAGCACCTTAAAGGAATGTGTCATTCCTCCACAAAGACAACATGGCATAGATCTCATTTTACACTGTGGCTCAATGGTTTTTAGCATTCTGTACATCTTCTCTGCATCCTTCTGCAAAGAATATATTAGAGAATATACAAAGAACTTCTCACAGATTATAAAACAAGCAGAACGTTGGGTTTGCGCGCAGCAGACTAGAAAAAACATAGAAAGGATGAAATACAAGTTCATTTTGACATTACTCAACTCAGTTCAACTTAAAATCCCCTAATGAGAGCAACCAAATGGGAAATTCAACTTAATGCAATGCACCAGCATCGTCACACTGAGTCCTATCCTATTTTTTAAAATGAATAAAGAATAACTGTATGGTAACTAGTAGCAAGTCACAACCGTATAATAACATTGAAGAAAGTCAATGATATAAAGATTTAAAACATGATCTCAAATCAAATATAATAAAAATCAAGGTCATATCTTATACGTAGTATGCAACGGGCCCACTATCATTTACATCTCTTTAAGCTCTCATATCATGTGTTGAGTTGTGAATTCCATTAAAGAAACCATTTTATCTGTCTATAGAACACAAGATAAAAAAAGGAAAAGAAGAGCAAACATTTTCTGTTTATCAACACTAAGTACATCCACCTCTGATGAACACTAAATTCAATCATTAGATGTCAAGAAAGTAGTGAATAACTGCAATAAAGACACTAAATTCAAAATTAAAGCCTTTTCAAATAACAATTAACAAAATTCACATAAATTTATGTCACTAAAGATAGATGAGTACCATTAATTTATCAACTGTACCAGCCTGATATACCATCTGGTGGGACACATAGCTTGCTGGATAATAAGTTGAAAAGAACTTTTCCACTGAATCACTGTACGAATGATCCGGAGACCATGGGATGCCACGGACTAGAACTGTGAAATGACTTGGATTGGGAGGAGATCCAGTAATATGTGCTAGCCTCATTTTAGTGATACTTTTATATTCCTACAGCAAAGCAGTAATCTTTAAATGAATGCCGGAAGAAGTTTAAGAATGCATCAAAAACAGGTCTACTATATATGGGGTAAACAATGCAATTTGGTTTTTACATCCTTACAAAGTAAAGTAGAACACAAGCTGAGCAGGATATGACGTATAATGCAAGACAATGGGCCCAAAGCCTGGAAAATTTTAAACAAAAAGAAAATAATCAAATAGCTGCTTTTCTGCAATCTATATTACCATAAAAAAACATTATGTTAGAGTGACATCTCAATATCTCAGCCTGGAGAAGAAAGAGTTATTGAAACAAAGAACTTTAAAAATTCATTATTTTATACTTGAAATTAGAACTCTCCCAGGAATCTTATAAAAGTATTAAAAAAAAAAAAAACACAAAGACTTGGATTCTTCTACTTGGTTGCAAATATGCTAAAAGTAGAATTCTAAAGGACATCCTAAAAACCAAATGTAGGACAGAACAAGTCCAAATTTTATTTCTGTTCATGACATTCATGGCTCGACAAGGCAGCATCCAGATAACATATCATTTTACAAAAAGAATTAAAGCAACTATCTCATCATAATAATGGGTCCAACAGAACATACCATTTTGAACCTTCTTTTACATTTCCAATTGTAAATACTTCCAGTGATTCTGCATGGATTTGCTTGTGCAGCATTTCTTCTTGTCCATAATAGTTTACTGGAAGCACTAGAAAAATGCAAATCATAGCAGCAATGATGAATACCCGAATACTGAAAACAGGAGGAAAATAGCAGTGCAGTTAGTAAAACCTGCAAAAGCAAACGCAGATACTGACCAAACATAATTGAAATACTAAAGCACTTCAAAAAGTTTTGAATATATTTGCAAGCTTAGACTGCGGAAGAAACTTGGTAGCAAAAATTTCACAAAGAAAAATGAAAGACTTCAAAAATTTTCCATATGGGAGACTTAATCACCTGAAAACAACTATTCTCATGAAAACTACAGCATCCACACCACCGACAGCCAATATTTCTTCATCAGTTGCTAGCCAGGCCCTCATGACCCAGCTTGCAGAGGGAACAAATCTTTCAAAGCAGAAAGGTTCATTGCGCTTTACTGGTTCTGAAACAAGCCTCCGGGTAAAATACACACTTACATTGCTTGGTTGTTTCCTCAGTATGGAATACAATGACAGAAGCACAACACATATGGCTATATTGATTCCGGCAGAAGTTAAAAGAGCAACAACGTCCATCCCTCTCCACTATATCCTTTTTTAAGCTTTAAAGATCCAACTACTCCGACCCTTAGCCACAGAAGGACATCATATTACTTCCAATTTGCTGGAAACGAGGGAATGTTTTTGATGATAATGATAATGCAGAAACAAGTTTGGCTCGATTTGACACAGAACCAAGTGCTGCAAAATTGATTTGGGAATTGTCATGGTTCAGAAACCAAAGTTTTAATAAAATTTATCGCCCATCATATGCATAAAAAAAAAAAACCCTTCAATAAAAATTCAAGTAACAAGCTAGTGAAAATTCTAAGTCTTTCGATGCCTGATGAAATTTCCAAACCCTTTTTTTTCTCTTTTTCTTTTAATTATTTTGTATAGTTCCAAGACATATATATACAAGAAAAACCAAGAATTTTCCCAAAAAGATATACAAAACCAAAAGCATTAAACATTAAATTTAAAATGAAAAATGCACCAAACAAATTCATCCAAAGAAGAAATTCAAACAAAATTAAACAACCGAAAAAAATAAAGATTAATTTAAAGAAAGTACCTGCGCAAATATCAGAGCCAAAAAAAAAAAAAGCGAAAGAACTTCGAAAAGGTTCCCAAACGTGGGGAGATTCTGAAGAAAAACGATCGGTGAAAAGCAGAAAAAGTTAGGAAACCGAAAACAAGAAAATGTTGAGCCTGTTTATTACTTATACGCCAAACGCCACGATTTTGCTTCAACTTCAAATAGGAACAACAACAAAAAAATTAAAAGGGAAAAAAATCGACCAATTTGCAGAGAAAGGAATCAAGAACCCTAATTTAGCATCTCATCTTATAAGGAATTTATTGAAAAAATTCTTACAAAAATTACACGTAAAATTTTGTTATTTATTTGGAAAAAGATTTCGGTAATGCGGAAACTAGATCGAGCAACGGAAGAACCACGTGGCGGAAAATAAGTGGACAGTACAAAAATGTTAGATCCTTCAACTAAAGTTTAACCGCCTTAACTGTCTGTGCGAATCTGGAATTCTTGGTTTTGTTACGGTGCACCGCGACCTAATTTATTTAAAGTGGAGTCTAGGTCGGTGACGAATGAGGATTGTTGACTAGTTCACATGCCTTCGGCGTGTAGCCTTTTTTTTTTTTTTTTTTTAGATTTAAATTTAGTTATGGCTAAATTCTATATTATTTTATATTAAAATTTTTTTAGGGTTCGTTGGTATTAAGCTTTCAACTTTATTTTATTTGAATTCTAAATTTTTAATATAAAAAATGCATGATATTATCTTATTTTAAGTATGACAATTTATATATTTATATATTATTTATTTATTATCAAATATATATAAAATAAGAAAAATCATATTACATATTTAATACATATACAATTTTTATCAAAATTTAAACTTTATCATTTTTATATTTTTTGTATTATTTCATATTATATTATTTTTCTGTATTTAAAATCGTTAGATATACATATAACTTTATATTAGGGATTCCATGATTTTTCATCTAATTTTTAGATTAAAATATTGAAGCATGGGCCCTAAGGGTTGATACATGGGATACATGAGTCCAATTTAAGGGCTGGGCCTAACTTAAGCACCAAACAAATGGGATGGACTTGCTGTCTGCACTTTTGATCCCGATTATTTTAAAATGGAACAGTATAAGTTATGTTTTACACATTTGTTTAAATAAAATTATTTCAAATAAATTGCCTGATTTCACTAAAAAAAATATTTATTAATTGGAAACTTAGCGTGGATCGGGTTGATTTGCTACTCAAGGGTCAACAATGGATCAGGTTGGGTCGCAGGTTTTATCATGGGTTACCCAACTAGACCCACAATTGCTTTCACAAGTGATTCGCAAGAACCTTAGTTGCAATTATTAGTGGAGCATAACCTGGAGATTATTTTAGTTGATTAATACAGTCATCTGTAACTCCTTCCCAAATTGCAGCCTCTTTTATACCCAAAAAAGATATATATACCAATAGAGCAAAAGGATATGATGTATCGGAGAAATGTTTTGACTCACAATAATATCAATAAAAGAATACATCATATACTGGATGAAATTCAAAAGTAGGCTAATGAAAGCAAAGTAAACATTTTATACCAAGATTTAAACTATGCTACTGAACATTTAATAAGCTGCACTATGGAACTCCATGTAAACAAATCAGTGGTATGACCTTAGGTGAAAAATTTGGCAACTGGGCTTATATGAGTTCTTTTCTGCAGCCTGACTGAACTTCTTGCTGGCAACTTCGTTTTCTTCCAAGCTAGTCTGGACAAAATATCGTGCCCACCAAGACGAGCTCCTCAGTTTAGCCTTCAGAAATCAAGAAATTACTTCAGCATGTCACATTCATTTAAACTCTGCAAAATGTACTAATACATGATATGTAAAAGACAATACAATTAATACCAAAATCTGAGACCAACACATAAAATATGTATATAACTATATGTTTCAATGTTTGATATATGAAAAAGATGCTAAGACAACTCAAATAGCAGAAATCAAGCATCATTTGGTTCTACATTCCAACTCTTAACAAATATAGATAGATGGAAACTTTGATTGGTAAAAGCAACCTATTACACTGTTCAGTAATACAATTTTGAAGGTTGTCAACATTAATTAAAGGTCATCACATTTCTTAATTACTGTTTGGGTACAGAAATAAACATGCCTGCATGCATTCACATACATCTACACATTACACGGAAATCCAGGAAGCCATCTCCGTAATTCTAATTGGCCAAAACAAAATCTCGACAATTCTACATATTGACCCATGCAACAGATAAATGAAAAATGTATGGTTCAAATGGTAATGAAGGCAAGCAAAAGAGATGCTCATTAGATTTAGTGTCCCACCTCTGAATAATAATTTAGCTTAAAAGACTTAAAACTTTAAAACAAAAAATTGCTTAAAACTAGCTGAAAAGTTTTACTTGACGACATTCATTTAAATGGCCTATCCAATAATAAGGATAAAGAAAGTGTCCATTTCATATTGATCATCAAGTCTTAGCAATTTATAATAACAAGCAGTAATTAAGGAACATAGTAACAGCCACTTACCGCCCTTCCATATTTGGACACTTCTGCAGCTTTAGCTTTCCGCTGACCTGGAAAACCTACATTGCAACAATTAGAAAAGTCCTTGAATGACAGCTCAAAAGGTTTAAATTATTTCTTTGTAATCTCATACAGCATATTAGCTACAGAAACACTGTTATAAAAGCTTAATGCATTTTTTATAACGCAGACAGGACAATGACCTATTAAAAGAAAAAGATGGAGAAGAAGATGGTCATGATGACATACATACGGCACATAACGAGGGTGTAAAGGTTGGCAGTAGATCTAAACAAAGAATCAATACAAAGTCCACCAATATAAAAATGGCTAAATTTGGCAACAGAAAGCAAGTATTTGAAACCAAAAGCAAGAAACAAAGATCATTACGGGATAGGAAGGCACATATGACTTGCAAGTTCAGGAATCAGAACAAAACTTAAGCTGCTTTTACCTGTAAATACGACAACTCCATCAGCCGATACCCTTGCAAAATCTGGAAGTGTCTTGTTGAGATATCTTGGAGACAAATAATCTAATGCATCCGAAACAATTACAAGAGGGAACGATTTCGGCCTGTATGGAAGAGGAAATTTGATGTCAGACACACGCACAATGCCATTATGCACTAGTCCTTTGCAGTTAGTATCAGCATCCTCAATGTCATACGGCTCCACACCCCAAGCTTCAGTTTCTTCTTCTTTTAACAAATTTGAAACCACTGAACAAGTATCAGGACCAACATGCAAAACCTTATGCATGCTGTCACCATATGCTTTCTTCAAAATAGGAATAGTCCGTTGAACCTCAAATGTGCAGGAAAAGTCACCTGCGCATGAAGATCAAATCGTATCTTAAAACTAAAGGTCATTTCTTAGTAATAGCATATCGACAAGAAAAAGGAAAGTATGCCTTAGCTGAAACATATAATAATAAAAGCAGTAAGTAGAATATCATCTAGATTTCGCAGCTATAAACATACCATTAGCAAATCTAATTAATTCTAATTGAAGAAGAAGAAAATCCCAAGTTACTCTTTATAAAGTATCAACAAATGCATTCAAAATCCCCTATATATATATATATATATATATATCCAAGATGCGCACTTTCTTCATATGCAATTCAAGGAAAAATGGAACAATGCTGTGTGGAAATATTGTTAAATAACATTAATTTTTTTCTTAAGGCAAAAAGAAAAAAAAAATTACCTTCAACTCTTGTAACAGGTTCCTTTATGCCTCCGGATCGACCTATTGCAAGAAAAATGATATGATCACCATAGACAAATTCATAATGGAATCATTTATTACAGATTAAGTAATCAATCAATGCTTAATCAGAAAAACAAACCTGAGCCACTATGAAAATACGCAACAATAAGCAATGCACCCTGACAAATAGAAACGAAAGAAATTCAGACAAAATTTATAGAAACATAAATAAATAAAATATTAAAAAAAAAGTACCAGGACAATGAGAAGAATGGAGATAAAAGGAGGAGAGCGAGATTTGGAATACGAAAAGAGAGCAGCTCCCCCACCGGCGTCTCCGTATCGTCTAGAGGAATTCACTGGCCTCCTCGACATGCCTACAACTTTTTGTTTCGATTTTGATTCTTTTTGTGTTCAACTATTCTGATTCAAACCAATCAAATAAAAAAAATCATTTGCAATATTGCTAAACAACAAATCATTAGAAAATTAATTGAATCGCATTTTCTAAGTGTGGAAAGAATGATTCTTACCGAGAGACAGAGATTCAAGTACGCGCATTTTTGTGCGGGAAGAGGCAGAGTCGGATCTCAGGTTTTTTTTTTCTTATTATTATTTTGAAACAAAGAAAAAGAGAAAAGCTGTAGCGGTAAAAGGCGCGTTGGAGTCGGCCATGACATCCGGCGGTTTTGATTCCTTTAACGGGCAACTTAGGCCTTATTGTCTCGCTGGCCCAATTTTTTAGGCCCTGGTATTTAAAATGGCCTTTTAGGCCCATTAGATGAATGACACGTGTACCCAGTTGAGAAATTGATTAAGTTTTGGAGTCCTTGCCATCACTCAAATTCCGGCTTTAGAGAGTCAAACTCGAAGGAGGTGAAAAAACATATAAGAGATTTAATTTTCTAAAAAAAAAACCCTAACGGTACGATTAGGGTTTAGGATTGAAATTGAATTGAAGAAAAGGGATTGTTGAAATTTCGGTATTCGGAAATTGGGGAATCAAAAGAAATGAGGGGCGAAGATGCTGACCAGGATAAGAGTAAGCAATGGTCGTCCTCTGCAAACAGAGCTTATAAAGAGAAAGAGGAATATCCCAAGCTTTGGGGACTTTGCTTCTTTGATTTAATTGGCGCCACGGAAACTACTTTCTCGGTAAGTTCTTCCATTAAAAGTTTCTATCTTTTCCACATTTTAATTGATCGTTTTAAATTTTTTTATATTAAGCTGCAGTTTTGATTTCTGGGCCGTAAATTATATTTTAAGACGAAAGGTTGGATTTTTTGGGGGGAACGGAAACAAATGATGTTAAAATTTTCTTGCAATAATAAGTTAGTGCAGGTGGGAGTAGCTATTTGTTAGAATTGCCCATTTGATTGTAGCTGCAATCTGGCAGGTTAGTTAGCTGAGGACGTCTGTTGATTGGATATCTACTCAGGTATACAGAAAAGTTCTTTCACGATTCAGCTATCCATAATTCCTTGCTACTATTGTTGAAATGTGGACTTGTTGAGGAAAAATCTTTCCTTATATATTTCATCATCACTATGGTCATTGTTTTCTTATATGGAATGGTAGAAGGAATTTTTTTTTTCTTAGAAATTTCCAGTTGTTTTCTAGTGCTTTAATTTAAACAAGGATGCTAATTGAATTGCTTTTTGTGACTACAAATTTAGACTCATGGCTAGAGGTGCTATAATGTGCTATTTGAATTGCTTTTCTAGTATTGCTTTAATACTGTGAATGCTGCTATAATGTGTTAAAAGGGTTGAAGGTGATGAAAACATTTTATCCAGCATGAGTACCTCTGTTTTCATATGTTGATATTTTTAGATTTTAAGAATATGGTTGAGCTGTTTTATGTTTGACTGCTGCCTTGTTTAATTGTCTAATGGATCTATTATGTTTGCTGATATCTTATAGATTAACTTGATATCACAATCAAGTATTATGCACAGTGAATTTGTCCATTTATGCCTCAAAACGGTAGAATGTGTATTCACCAATGTGATCATGTCTGTACTTTCACCATGAAGTTAGCCAGGTCACAATCATCATGGAGACGAAGTTCTTTTTGGACATCCTTTCAGGAGGAAGCATGGAGAAGGTATAATCATTGAATGAAAGGAGTATGAGGAAGAAATGGACAGAGTGGTACGTTTTTGGTTATGTTATAGCATTCTCTGTATCTTACTAACATATTACTTTCTACAGGTCTTGCAACTTGGTTTTTGAAACATTAGTTTAGGTTGTTTTAAATTGTGAATTGCTAGAAGCAGTTATCTTTGAAGGAGTGTTAAGTTGTAACATTTAGTATTTACTATTTAGTGATGGTGAAAACTTGTGCCTCGGGAATTTTTAATCTCTGGGAGATGTACCCCTGCTTCATGTGACTATTTTGTGCAATCCTTCTGATGGAAGTTATCTGTTATGATATTTTTCAGAAAATCTTTTGTGATTTAGTATATTGGTACAGGGAGAATGTGATTGTGGTGGATGGCATGTCTTACGTGCAATTATCATTTTCTTCTTTTAACGCCAATCAAATCACTCTGTTCAGGATTACTATTCCTTGTCATTAGTATTTTCTAGCAATTTCAAAAGCTGCAGCTGAGGGATGGGGGTGCCAGCAACCTCCCCCCAGATTTTTAGTACACCATTGTTATATCATTATTTTGTTAATTAATTTCTGCTTCTCTTTATAGGAGCAACTAAGGCCCATGCAAAGTGTGTTTAACAGGGAGCAAAATAAATATTAAAAGGAGATATGAGAGCTGGAACGAAAATGGTCCTGGTGCTTATCATCAGCACTTCCAACGAGATGATTGGTATTGGATGGCAGACACATCATACAGAGATCAGAGAGCCAATTCCTGGCAACCTCAAAGAGATAGTGCAAGCTATCCATTATCACATCACTATTCAGTTTTAGGTCTTGACAGGTAATGCTGCTGTAATGCAGGGTTAATAAATGCCTTTCCATCCTATTCTTGTCAGTATAGCCAAGAGCTCAACTTTGTGATAATTGACATTTCTCGACTTCCCTTTCTCCACAGGTCCAGAACAAAACCATATACAGAAGATGAGATTAAGGTATACTGAATTTTCTTTAAAATGCATTTACATTGCTGCTGTTGTTTTGAGTTATAATTTGTTTTTCATTTGTTAAAGTGATACTTCATTTTGATATAATTAGTTATGTTTGTGACATGCTATTGGCTATATATCATGACATTTCTGGTACATCTTGATCAAAAGTTGACTTGCTATAACCTTATTCCTATATTAAATAACTGATTAGTGAAATCAAACCGGTGTTTGTCTTAGCTAGTTGATTCCTCAATCTTCTCAAGGTAGACAGAGTACTAATTTATGTTAATGTTCATCAACTTACCATCTCGCTTTTATGAATTAACAATATTTTGTCAGACTAGAAAGTCTGAAAATCTAAGTTTGTGGATTCCTGTTTTAAGCATGATAATCACATAAATTGTTCGTGTACTGCTCTGGGATATGTGCTCACATTAACTAAGTGGTCTGCTTCTTTGATCTGATACAGTGTGACTGAACTACATTTTGTCAACAGCCATATCATATTCCAGTAGATGAAACACTCTTGCAAAACTATAACTTATCCCAAAATAAAACACTCCTGCAAAACCCTTGTTATAAATACTATTCATTTAAGGGTTAGTTTGTTGCAATGTGTGCTGGTCTATGTCATTATTTCTGACTTGATGTATAGTTGGTTAACGTTTAATCCATGTTTGTTTATATGAATTAATATATCAATCAAAGAACTTAATTAGGAAAACTGGTATTATTATGTTTCTTCTTGTTACTGGATTTAATGTCCTGCCTGTGATGATAGACCGATTACATTATCTGTCTGCCGAAGGCATTGAGGGCCAAGGCAAAACAATTCCATCCGGATCAGAACGGGGATGATAAAGGTGAGATGTGTTCAACTGTTTTCCAAGAAACTTCTAATCTTAACAGTATTGCTTTGGATTGTTTATTTAAAGTTTATTCCTTGTGCTTTATTTCAGAAGTTGCTGAGGCCAAATTTAATGAGGTAATGACTCCTACGAGGCTATAAAGCAAGAAACGAAGAACATGAGGGTATGACAACCTGGTTAAATCTGCACAAGAATTGGGAAATGAAGAGCAAGAATAGGTATGTAGAAATTCAAAACCCTATACTTCTACCTCAAGTTTACAGATGGAGAGTTCACATTCATCACTGCTGATCAATTTTCTTTTTTCTTTAATTAACTGAGTTTATACCGATGGATAATTTTTTTCGGCCTTCATTCGAGTTTCTTTATTTTGTAAGGAAAAATAATGAATTGTTTATTACACATCTCTGGCTTATTACAATTGAATTATTTGTAGAAAACAGTTATAACTTGACTCTAAAGGGTCTCTAATGAAAGTAAGTCAAATTCTTGGTAATTTGATAAAACAATATTAATACGAAGTTAATCTCAAAGTCTATTTGTTTCTCCAAGAAAATACCATATTTCGTCACAATAGTGCTTTTCCTTGTTATGATAAAATATTATTATGGTTAATTCTATGAATTTGAGAATTTATCAATACGGTTAATTCATGTGACATTAACCTTATCGGGTAGGGGATGGACCATGAGCTCGGACCATCTAAATACTGCCAAATGTTGCACCATGGGTATCTTATCATATTTTCTTGATTAATCGGCTTAGACTAGGCAACGAAACAGATCTTTTGTTGCAAAATAGAAGTCCTGACCATATAATTGGCAGGTAGATTCGTGATGTCCGCCGAGCAGCTAGCGAAAATCTTGTTGGCACCTTACAAGAGCCTCTATGAAGTATCTGATTTTTTTTTTTTTTTTGCCCAATAGTTATCCGATGAATTTAAATATTAAAAAACCTGTTTCAATGGAGTACATAAGAAAGACGACGAAGAATGGGTGGCTGAAAAGAGGCTTTGCAATTCAAATTTCTCTTCTCCCAACCATGAAAGAACCCTTCAATGTTCGATTCATGATTGAGTCTTGTTTAAAAGAAAATGCAAATATCGATACTGCCAACCAAGATTAAAACAGAGTTTTCCCCAGCCAAGATTCATTTTAGAAGATTATATACTTTGATCTCAGATTTTTCCTTTTTAGGAAATAGTGGAAAAAGTTAAACTTATAGACAAGCCTAAAGAATGTTGTCCTTACTTGAGCATTTGCTTTCCCCACTACTACTAAAATGGGGAAGACAAATGAAAATACAAGATAGTTTGTCATGGCGAAAGCTAAAAATTCTTCCTATCTTTCCACGTCTTCTTATCAGGGGCTCTGTAATATGCAGGAACAGTCGCGGGGAAAAACATTTGCCTGACTCCTTCTGCCTTGATAATAGGGAAGATGATTCCTGATGCTCCCTGGAACAGCATGACAATATTTTATTAAAGTAAATAAAATATTGTTGTAGGCAGATGAAACATAATAATGATGTTGTTCTAAATGATAAAATTAATGAAAATGACAGGGATCAGATCTGCACCGAGATCAATCTAGCTCCAATCCAGATTCGCTTAGGTGAAGGGAACGGCAATAGTAAACGACCAACACCATATACTGCCACAGCAAAAAAGTGAAGAACCAAGCTCAAGGGGCAAGGGTTCAAACCAGAGAGCAAAGAGATGGGTCCTGTTGAGAATACACCACCAAGGCTTAGATAATCAAAGCAAGCTTGACGCATTTCTTTCCTTGCTTGATCCGGTGAAGCACAGAACACCTTATACAAGGCACCTGCCAAGGTATTAATAGTAGATGCCACAGGCTGCAAAATGTAACATTGAAATGAGTTCACTGCAGTAATATAAAATTTTACCATTTAAACAAACTAAGATTAGTTAAATTTTGAATTCAACATTGTGATAATGTGATTAGGAAATCTCGGCACATCAATACCAGTAACAAAAGGAAATCAGCTTATTAATGTAATTTACCTTACGCAAGGTGTAAAATGATTCAAGATATTTGCAGAGGGTAGGTGCATCATGGAGGTCTCGCAGTGGCCTTAGTAGATCACGGAGGACAACAATATCAGATAAAGCCACAGTCATCCCCCCACCAGTTAACGGATGGCGCATGTTGAATGCATCTCCCATCAATAGGGCTCCAGGTGTGGGATAAGGAGAAGCTGGCATGCTCCTGTTTGGCATTGTCCTAATATTTCCCTTTTCAACAGCTGCTACAAATGAATTGTAGATTTCAGGGGGGACCTGTTAGATGCAGCACATTGTTAATCCAAGAGACTATCAAGCCTAAATTCAGATACCATGAGTAAAGAACAACTTTTACAAAAATAAATAAAGCCCTGAGGAGTTCAAATATGCAGAGCTAAAGCAGTTAACTACCTGAGGCGCCACGATGGTCTTCAGATAGTTTGCCATCTCTCCATTTGCAATAGAAGGAACCTTCTGACCAGGTACATCTACCAGACAGCGAACCTCTGTGCTGCTGATAGGATAGAACAAAATGGGGGAAGGATCTGCTAGTATAACATGCCCATGATTTGAGTATGGAAGATGGCAATTCTCCAGGACCAATCCCACAAAACAAGAGGGTACATCTACCTGCATATTACAATTTAGGCCTTCTTAATTTTTCAAGTTAAACAATAAAAAAAAAAGGAATAAGAAGGGAATATGGGGAATTTGCATTTTCTTAACCAACAAAACAAAGGGTTTATCGGTCAACTCACCTTAGGGTTGCAAAGGGAGCGACGCAAGTTCGAAAAACAGCCATCACAAACAATGGTCAGAGGTGCAAAGGCTGTCAATTCCCTGCCATCTTTAGTTTTGTACTGCACTCCTCTGATTGTCCCCTTTTCTTCAAGTAGAGAAGTAACTGTCCCTTGCTCTAAACGTACACTAGTAAAAAGATGGGAAAAAAAGGGTATAACTACCTTAACAGTGAATTACTTGTTACCATAATGGCTACATTAGGCAGTTCAATTTTTCATAATATTGAAGAATCATGATAAGTCACTGTTTTTAAACACTCAAAAGGTTTGAGCAATGAACATGAGGAACATAACAAATAGACGATTGATATCTCAAACGGGGAAAAGACGTACTTGGGTAGAGAAGCTGATTTCTCCCGCATCCTCTGTATGAAACGTCCATTGTGAAAGCTCCTACCAGATACATCTGAGTGGAACTTTTCTAAGGGGTAAGAAAGTCTGGTATTCTTACCATCCTTGAAAAGAGCATAACCAAATACCTGCTGAGCATCAATTTCCTCCACACAATCTGCAGTCAGAAAATATATAAGACTCCTTTAGGTCATTCCTTTAAATGTGAAAGTAATCAAGGACACTTAAAATATCAGCATATTCACAATCGAACACAGAACTTCTGACACCATGAACATCTACACCTACTCAAACAATTCAATATTGACCAACCTTCAAGTCCCAACTCAATTAACTTGAGATAGCCCCCTGGTTGTAGCAATTCCCCAACAATACGGTCAGGCTCTGTCAAGTCTCTTTCAATAACATGCACTCGACGCCCATCCTGTATTTTATACCAAATAATCAATTTTAAGTTGAAATAACTTTCAATAAGATTATCTCAAATACTTTATTAAAAACAAAACGCTATCATCTGAGTTGATGCTTAATTTACACATAAGCATCCCATTGAAAACTGAAAAGCAAGTTAAATCCCTAAAATAAAAAGAAATCGATGCTAAATGTCCATATATCAGTGAAAAATTTAAAAAACAAAAACAATTCTAAAACGGCGTATTACACGTATGTAATTAATACAGTTATATCAATTAAATCCGATATCCCCTAAAGTGGACATCAGAACAACGAGCCAGCGCATCGAGGTCGCAGAGGATAATAAGTACAGGGGAGTGGGAACAGAAAACTTGGAAAACCAAGAGTAAGGTATATTTTGTTATTACAACGACAAAACTAGTCTACCTTGTCCTAGGCAATGTTCAGTTAAAACCCCTATACAAGATTATAATTTATCGACAGTGACTAATTACGTAGAAATTGATGTCTGCAAAATTCCTAATAGCAACAGACGGTTCATTTTCTTTAAGTCGCTTTCGATACAAGCCTCCGTTATGATTGGTAAGTGGTAACTGGTAAGCCTTTTTCCTCAAAAAATAAAAAGCCAGAGACATGAACCAATAATTAAATTTTAAAAAGAAATTGTAAATACTGATTTACAATTATAAAGCTCATAAACCACTCCCAGAATCTATGGCGGATAAGCTTGTGAGCTTTTTTTTATATGACAATGCGCATTTAATAGTTGCAACATATTCGAAAAGAGAGACATAAAAAGTATAAAGGATTGTAAAATTATATAAACAAATGATAAAACGCATAAAAGAAAGAAAAAGGTGTATAGCGTTTTAAAAAGCCGAAGGTCCGAGAACATGCAGGCGCGACATCAAGGTAAAAAGGAAAAAAATCACCGAAACTTGTTCAAAAATGAAGGCAAAAAAAAATAGTGAAATGAAGAAAATTTAGTTCCTTATTGGTTACTGAGAAAATGAAAAAGAAAGTGGAGGAAAATGGAAAGGTGAAAAAGCACCTTGCCAAGAGTGTGAGCGAGGGCGGACCCAGCAACGCCAGCTCCAACGATGATGACATCAGCGTCGATGCCGTCAGCGGATCTGCATTCCCCGTTAACCGCTGGGACGCTCTTCACGGACTCAGTCCTCGCGGCAGAGATTCCGTTCCCTTTCCGTCTATTCAAAAATAAACCGTACAATGCAACCAGCGTCATCACGGAGCACAAGATCCATCCCCACATGTACGAACCCGCCATTCTTTTCCACCTCCGAATGCTAAACCAGAAAAGAAACAGGGGCTCCGCCAGAAAAAACGACGACGTTGAGAGACAGAGAAAGAGAGAAAAAGTTTTGAATCTCTCTCTTTCTCTTGCTCTCGGGATTGCTGCTTTGTTTGTTTGTTTATTTTGGGCTGGGGTGGGATTGGAGCTGGGGACAATGGTGCTTTGATTCAAAACTCTTGGAATACGGGCAAGTACGGGGGAGAGGAATGGCCTTTTTATAGTCCACATAACACATGTTTACAACTGACAAGTCACCAGTCTGGCTCTTACGTGTTATTTCTTGCTAACTTGCGCCTCCTATGAGGTTATACTTAAACTACGCATCCCTCATTCTAATTTCCTTCCCACATATAATCTATAACTAACTTTTGTTTTGGTTTTATTTATTTATGGGCTTTAAAGTCTTTGTTTAATAGGATTAATTTTGAATTTCCACTATTCCTTGTAAAATGACATTGTAGTGGCATTACAATGAAGGGATCGTAAATATTAATATTTAAATTTAAAAATGATTAACTATTATTTTTTAAAAAGAATTATATAAATTAATTGAATTAAATTTATTCTTTTTAGTATATAATTTGTATGCTCTTCAAACTCTTTATTAGTATTTTTTCATTATTTACAAGATAAAAAATTGGTTAATACACAATTAGTGAAGTTAGGGAATTACTACATATCCTATTATGATATATTTTAAAAAATTAATAAATTAACATAAAAAATAATATATGATAATTTTTTAATCTCATTCATGAAGTTTAAAAGCTCCGTCAATGATATATGATAAAATAATATTTTACAAGATATATGTTTATTTAAATAATCGATATTTTAGTATCGATTAAAGATGTTGAAGATAATGATGTTACGTTATTTTATATTTTTATTATACTTTACGAGGAGGAATGAAAATAGAAGGAAATGTTATGTTTTATTATGTGACCATTTCACGTGAAGAAAACTTCTGTAGCTTTAGCCAATGAACCAAAGCATGCATGATCTATTAGTATTTAGTATTTGATTTGCAACCTTAGTCGAATTTGACTTTAACAAGCAATCTCACAAAGTCACAATCATGTTACAACCCTAGTCGACTTTGACTTTAAAACAAACATCATAAATGATAATTTGACAAGTAATCACCTTAATGAATGTACTTGGTGATTATGGTTACTACTACTTCAAACTATCTATAAAGTCTCTTAAGGGAACTTCATGCCAATTACCATGAAGGGAACTTCTGTAAACTATCTATAAAGTCTCTTTTAGCTTTATAAAATAAATAAATAAATAAATAAAGTCTGTCAAAAAAGAAAAAAATATATATTAGTCAATTTATAGGATAAAAGGAAGGCATATAAAAGTCTTTTACGATCAGAATTATGAGAGTTTTTTTAATTAAAATGAAAAATAAAATTTAAATTTCAACATCTGTAATTCATTATTTTATTTTCAAACTTTAGCTTTCATTATTAAAAAAAAATGGAGATAGCTAGTAGGTGGGTGTATAAAGCAAGTAGGACTATATTTTTATCAAATGTTTTGAAAAAACAAAAATCAAGAGCCAACCGAAACTGAATTTGTGTGCTATTTTGGAATATTATATAAATATATAAGAAAACTTAGTCAAAAGATTAACCCTCAAAGAAAATAACAAGCACTAAAAATTCCACAAATCCTACTTGATTTTTTTTTTTTTTTGGGCCAATGATCCTACTTGAGTTAAAGCAATAGAGAAGGACCTTCATATTGATGTTGAGATTTGAAAACTAATGACTACAAAATATTTTGGATTTTAGTGATTAATCAAAATTTGATGTTTAATATGATCATATACTTGGGTGGATAATTTATTAATGAAATGTGAAACGAGTGCATCAAATCGTTGTTAGGGGTTGAAAATAATTTGTTTGAATGTTGCAAGTAAAAGTTACCAAGTCAATATCATATTTCATGGGAAGGCATTGAAAGATTATTTTAAACACCCATCAATATATATATTTCATGGGTGGAATTTAACATTGAAATTTGAAGGTACATGCAGGCCTTTCTCACTTGACAATTGAAGATTAAGTGGACTACATTTCGATCAACATCCTTCCCTCCTCTTTTTTTTTTTTTTCCTTGTACTATATGTTAAGTAAGAGAAAAAGAAAATACATGGAAAGGGTACATAAAGTAATTAATGAAGAAAATTCATCACACTGCAAATGGAAAGATTAATTTTAGTGATGTTTTATAATATTCCAACTAATGGAATGATTAAATAATTTTTTTGTATAACAAAAGTCTTCACAATCTGAAAATAAAAGAAAAAATCGTAAGTATTATAATTTAAAATTAAATTTATTATATGTTTTTTTAAAAAATAATTATATAAATCAATTGAATTAAGATATGATATCTATCTCTCAAATTCTTCCGGCTGTTTTTTTCTTCTTTTTTTTTATTTTCTTTGCTACCAAATTAACCTAGCAATTTCTTGGGTGTTACCATTAAGAACAAAGGGTAGTGGACGTTCAAAAGCAGGAAAAAGAAAAGGAGGGGAAGAATCTGACTTGCGCTTTGGTAGGTAATAAAGGAATCGGTACGACTAAAACAACGTCGTCATTCGCAGAAAAATTCCACACAATTTATGAACTAAGTCAAGCATGCATGGAAAAAATAAAATAATATAGCAGCAGCGGCAAACGAAGAAATTATGTGAGAAAATAGGGTTTGTCAGTTGTGCGAGATCAGGTCAAATGAAGAATGGACCAATTACAAACTATTATATCCCAATCCTTTGAGTCAATACAGGGATTACTGCGTCACACGCAAACGTAGAAGATTTTGAAGTGTGTTATCGTATTCAGTATTCGTATGCCGGCGTGCAGCACATGGATGCGTGATTTTAGGACTCCACCGTATCTATGAAGTTGCTTACCGGTTACTTTTAGTAGAAAAAGGCAACAAAACGTCTTCAAAAGAAATCAGAAGTGAGCACGAAAGTGTTGCCTCCTTTTTAATTGGCAGTTTTCCTGAAATACATATTCATATATTTAATCACGGTTTCAAAGAAAAGGAAAAAAATGGCAAATGAATTTAATAAAATTAGAAAATAAACAGAAACAAGATGAAAGGTGTTTGGTGCCAAGCTTTGAAGTGAGGGTCAAAATTTTAAAATCACAAAAAAAAAAAATAACAGTTAAAAATAAAGATAAAAAGTGTTTTTTATATTTACATTTCAACGCTAAAGTCAAAAGTCGATATAAAAAAAGTTGGAATGAGAGAAAAATAATAACGTATGAGTAATAGAGAATAATATAATAGTACTTGATTATCTCTATTTATATATATATAAGTATTTATATATATATAAGGTAAAAAATTTGTGAAGTAAAATAATAACGTAAGCAAGCTAACATAATATTGTACGTGTTAGGTCAAATCAAAAGTTTAAAATGTCTCTTTGATAGTTTCTAATGAGAGAAATGATCTAAATGCCTTTTGGATCAAAAAAAACCTCTAACAAAAGGTAATACAGTTTCACGAATATTGTTGCTTGCTGGTGAAGATGGACTATCGACTATGCTGCTTATGAACGAAAATTAATAGCATATATACCAGCAATAACATTGATTGATTAAAGATGCTGAATTCCTGATCTTAACAATTAGTGACAACCTTTCTACTGTTGTCCTTAATCAGTGCCCTTTTTGGGCTCATTTGTTGGCTTTATTCATGGAAAAACAGTAACTTCTCATAATATTCAAAAATATATACCTGAATGCTCTTGCATATCGGCATCTTATTTGCATAATGGGATTACAAGTGGTCAAAGTACCACCTGTTTTTTATATTGCAGGAATTAACTTCAAATGGTGACTCCTTCAAGCCATCAGATGGAGAAAGGGCTACGTGGAGTTCAGCTGTACGGGTAAAGCTGCAATCTTCACGAACAGCTGATCTGAGAGGTGAACGATCTTTGGGCTTGGATCATATAAGATCTGGGTAGGAGATGAGCACAGACTCGAGCATGGTGGGCATGTACAAAAGCAAGCAACGAATGCAAGCGCAAGAGGCCCATTATCACCTTAATGAGGGCCTTCTTTTTAGGCCTTCTTAACCCAAAGGACAACGGTCTCTCCATTAGTGGACAGCCTAGCCGTTGCAATTGTTAAAAATGTACCCCAAACGTGAACCAGTGAAAGTTCCATTTTAAGCATAAACTCGATGGCTATAGGTGTCTAGTCGCCGTTCGCTTTCCTTCTACTTCCCGTAATCTTTGGCATTTCAGCACTTCCCAGTAACAAAGATTTAAATAAAGTTTTTTACGTAAAATTTATAAATTTTTAATCATAAATGATTAAAATTTATGGTTATTTAATTTTTTAAATAACTTTTAATAAATTTTGATATATAATTTTAGATAAATATTTTTAATAAAAATATTAACAAAATTTTTATTATCAAATAAGTATCAATTAAATATAAATTTTTATAATTTTTTTATATATTATTAACCACTCCAATAAATTTTATTAATCTATCAATTTAAATTCTTCATTAAAACTTTTATTAAATTATATTTTTAAAAATTTTCCCAAACTTCATTTAAATATTGTCCTTATCCTCATAATCTAAACGACACCAAAAGGAGGCCGTCCAACTGACGGAATCTTCAAAGCCAAAGACCCCTCGATGGTTCCGTTTATTATCCTGAAATTTCCCGGCTTTTACACGTGTCATGATGATATTGGCCACGTCAGTTCCCGCGTGAAGGCCTCCCTTACGTCCATATATTGTACACCGACTCATGGGTCATGGCTTTCTATCCTCTTCAACTTAAGTCTCCTATTCCATCCCTTCAACGGTCTTAACCACCAACCTGATAAAATGACGATTATGCCCTCGTCAGACCGTAAATACCGACGGAGTCCCCGAACGCCTCTCACACCTCGAAAGCTCCGAGACCAATTATTCGAGGCTCACGAATCCGGCTTCGATGGGGCGTCAATTTCAGGAGCCGTATTCAACCTCTCGACCACCATCGTGGGAGCCGGAATCATGGCGCTCCCAGCCACCGTCAATCGACTGGGCCTAATCCCTGGTCTAATCACGATCATATTCGTCTCTATGTTAACAGAATCATCCATCGATATGATTCTCAGATTTAGCCGAGCCTCCAAGTCCGCCACGTATTCAGGAGTCGCCGCCGACGCTTTCGGTGGGCCGGGCCGTAACCTCCTTCAAGCCTGCATTGTCATCAACAACTTGGGCATGCTCGTCGTTTACATGATCATCATAGGTAACTTGAAGCCAAAATTAGGCCACGTGGAACAATTAATAACCGTTTGATCACGACTGAATTTGAATTGTTGGCAGGTGATGTGCTATCGGGGACATGGGTGGAAGGGTTCCGCCACAGGGGAGTAATAGAAGAATGGTTCGGTGAACATTGGTGGACCATGCGTTCGGCTTTGCTCTTGTCGACCACACTTTTCGTATTTGCTCCTCTCATTTCATTCAAACGCGTTGGTAACGAACTCGTCAAAATTCTAAATTGATGATAAAAAATAGTTAAGGTATTAACTTTTAATTTCTTTGGTCAAAATTTTCGTGGTTTTGTTTATTTTAGATTCATTGAGATACACGTCTGCATTGTCTGTCGGTTTGGCGGTTGTGTTTGTGGCAATAACAGCAGGAGTTGCAATTGTGAAGTTGATGGAAGGGAAAATCGGAATGCCTCGTCTAATGCCAAAACTTGTTAATCAAGCATCGTTTTGGAAGCTTTTCACCACCGTTCCTGTTCTAGTTACTGCTTATATATGCCACCATAATGGTGAGTTATGACAGATCGACTGTTTCTATACTGTTTAGTACTTTCAATACTATTCATTTACTATCATAATTGGTTTTGTTTAATTGTTGGTTCAAGTGAATTTCCATCCAAGTCGACCATTTATAGTTCAACATTACATAGAATTACAAATATGATGCGCTATTATTAAGAATGTTAGTTCAACGTATTTTGATGTAGTTATCATGATGTATTCTGTATTTTGATGTAGTTATCATGATGTATTCTGTATCAAAATTGTTTGCTTATGAGACTACGAGAGACTTGAGTTTATATTATTAGTCGTTTTATATCTATCTTTGTGTGCATTTCTTGTGTAGCAAATTCATTGTTTTGAAAATAACTGTTTCAATTTTCAACTATCCTGCACAATCCTGTTTCTTGCATAGCAAAGATTGTTAAATGTTTAATGTATGATTGCTAGCTTATATGGAATTGATTAACCCTTGCAGTACTCCCGATAGAGAATGAACTGAAAGACCCTACACAGATGAAGTCAATAGTTAGAAAGTCCCTCACATTTTGCTCTTCAGTCTACATTGCTACCAGCTTCTTTGGAGTCCTTCTCTTTGGAGATCATACTTTGGATGACGTGCTTGCCAATTTTGATGGTGATCTTGGAATTCCATATAGCTCATTGCTTGATGATTTGGTCAGAGTGAGCTATGGTCTTCACCTGATGCTTGTTTTCCCAATTGTGTTTTACTCCCTTCGTCTCAATGTAGATGGTCTTTTATTTCCATATGCCATTCCTATTGCTTTTGATAACAGGAGGTTCTTCTCAATGACAGTAGCTCTTATGTTTTTTATCTTTATGGGAGCCAACTTTATTCCCAGTATCTGGGATGCCTTCCAGTTCACTGGTGCAACTGCCGCCGTTTGTGTTGGTTTTATCTTTCCAGCTGCAATCACACTTAGGTAAGTAATAGTTATTATGAACAAGTTTTATTGAATTCAGTGTCAAAAGAACTTTACATGCAACTGTGTGTTGGATATGATGTTATCAATGGCAACATTATGTTGGATGGTAGAGAATTATATGTTTAAAACAGAGTGTACCATAAATGAAAACTAGTATTAGGTTAGCTACTAACTCCTAGATCATGGTTTATGTTGGATGGTAATCAAATAATTAATAGTTCTGATGTGCACTTATACAGGGACACCCATGGAATTGCAACAAAGAATGATAAACTAATATCATGGATGATGATTTTTCTTGCTGTCTCAACAAGCACAGTGGCTGTGATCAGTGACATTTATAGCATTTTTAGTGTCGACGGAGTTATAACCTGATTTTATGGAAGTGTCTCCATCTATATCTAGTTTTCCTGGTGCATTGACATAGCTGGAAACTGAAGCTAATAGGCAAGGAAATAATCTGGGTTTCTTTCATGCAATTTATCCTCAAAGCTGAATGACGAATAGCTAAAGCGTGATCTGTTATCTCTACTGATATGTGAGCAATAGGCTGTGGACTGTTCCAGCATCTAATGAGGTTCGATACGATCTTTTCTATGAAGTAATGCAGGTGATTAAGTTGTTAGTTCTTGATTCTTTTTGAGAGTACAAATAGGAAAATTCTGAATATATATATTTCGGGAATATCACAATAGCCTACGTTGAATACTCATTTTTGCCGTCTTGTCATTTGCCTTCTCGTACAGAATGTAATGTTATTCTACGAGGGAAGACATTCTAATTGGGAGATTAAATATAGTATTTTTTTTTTCTCACCCTTTTGAGGATTTAGCTTTTTGTTTCTTCGTCGTGAAAACCACGATGGATTGTCCCTATTTTCAAACGAAAGCTTTAAAGTACATATGTCCAAGCTGATAGGTCAAAGTGATAGACATGTTCATCAAAATTTTTTTATTATCAGAATAATAAATGCTTGTTACCAACATAATTAAGCGATTAGTTTTGAATATTATATTCAAATTAATAAACTGGAGAATGTAATTTAAAATTTTGACGGGTTTTTTTTTTTTTTTAATTGCCACAATCAATTCAAAACAGGCTTATTAGAACAATAAATTTTGAAAGAATTTACCCTTTGGGTTATTTATCACTCCCTTCTAAAATTAAAAATAAAATAAAAGAAAATACCAGTACAGCTTGCCATCTTTCTTTCTCCCTTTTTTTTCCCTCCTTTTATAATAAGCCCATGCTTTGACTGCTTTTTTCTTGATGATAAAATGAAAAGACAGCACTAAAATATATTGTACAGCATAAATTGGGTTGTTTTTTGGATGTTTTGCCTGGCCTGGAAGGAGAGTGAATTGAAACTATAATCTAATCTAACAACTAAAAAGAACACAATGTGTGGGAATGTGAGGTTTATTCTATGCTTATTTATTTGGCAACGTATTCTCACACACGCAAAATATGTAGTATTTTCAACTCAAGGTTTCACGTAATTAATTCATATAATTATTTTAAAATTTTAAAATTTAATAAATTTATAATTCAAATATTAATAATTATAATTTTTTTATCTCTAAACTTTAAACTCTTTCATTAAAAAAAAAAATAATAGTCCGTATTAAACTCCCACATTAAAATATCGGGTTAGTATGCATCAGAATGGAAGAATGCATATAATTTCCTTCCACAATATTAGGCAAAATTTTTTTTTAAATTCATGTGCCCATTATTTTTTTTTTTAATTCATTAAAGTCAATGAACCGTCCATTTATTTTAGGCATTTATTATGTGTATATGGAGATCAATTATGCTTATGATCACCAATGTTATTTACTCTCACCTAACCTTGTGTTTATATAATACAAATGTTAGGGGCCTACATGTTTTACAAATTTTAATGTCTTAAAGAATATTAATCTTTAGTATTATGATAATGTTAATTAATTTTACAATACTTTCTCAAGAAATTTCTATAATTCCCTTTGGTTTCGTTGGAAAATAATCAAAAGCAATCATATGGAAAGCTGTCTTCCATGAATGTTGTTGGTTTTATTCCTATATTAATCCACTTCCACACCATCCTTGAATTTTCTTAGTTTTAATTTGTTGACTTTTTTTTTTTTTTCATTTTCCTTTCTCTTTTCTTTGTTCTTGACCAAAAACTTTTAAACGAAATAACAAATTTAGTAATATATGATTTAAGCACAAAAACGTTGGAAGTTCAAAGTTTAAGATAGTAAAATCATCAATGACAAACCAACAAATTTATAACGAAAAAAATCTCTATGATTATCGAAATAATACTAAGAGTTGATGCAATGATGATATCATTTGTGTATAAAATTTTTCATGTAATTTTAAATTAATTGTTATGTTTTTAGTGATTTTAAACGTATTTATAATAATACGGAAGTTCAAATCCATTAACTATTTAATAATATATACTAAATCTAATATGAAATTATTTTTATGTGTGAAGTATTTTATTTTTAATTTGCTACTCAAGGAGTGAAAATTAGAAGAGCACGGCAGGTAAGCGAAGCTTGCACGACAGGCAGCTGCCGGCTGTGGTGGCCAGCTAGTGCTGTCTCTCTCTCTCTCTCTCTCTCTCTCTCTCTCTCTCACCGTCACTTGGCGTTGTCTTTCTCTCCTCTCATTTCCAATTTTCCACTCTTTCTCAAGTGCGGATCTCATATCGCTTCTCCCCACACGTGTCACGAGATCCAACAGACAGAATTATTCCAAAATTCTCCGTTTAACCACAAAAATGAACTTCAAATTCCAATTTCAGCCCTTATCCTATGTTTAAGAGCTCAGACCTTACCACAGAGTCTATTCCGATTTGAGAGGGATATTTGCATCCGGTTATTTCTCTTCGTACTCTTTTTTTTTATATATATAAGTAAAATTATTTAATTATTTTTTATATAAATTTCTTAAAATAAATTATTAAAAAGTTGTAATTTTTTAAAAAATAAATTTTCAAAAAGTTATAAAGCTTTTTAAAAATAGATATTCAAAATTTTTAAAAAATTTTTAAATTTATTTTGAAAATTTTATGAAAAATAATAATCATAAAATAATTTTACTTACAAAAAATTTTAAAAAAATTAGAATGTGAAGAGAAAAGGTTGAGGTACAAATAATCCATTTCTTTTCTTTTTATTTTAAAATATTAATGTTGTTCCTCACTTCATCATGTCTCACGTTTCCGTAACCAAATCAATATACCCTATATAAAAAAAAATCTCTGAAAGGTTTTTCGCTTGTCATGTTTTTTTTTATAATATTTTACAGTTTTAGTGAGATCAGTGGGATCTTTTACTCATACCAAATAGCAAAAGGTTCTTTCCTTGTTTATAAGTTTTTTTTATGTTGTTTTTTTTTTTTTTTACAATTATATTTTAACTTCAACAAGTATGTTTAAATTTGAATTTCGAAAGTTTTTGTTTTTAAGTTTTCATTGTTGTTTCAAAACAGCTTCAAAGAGTATAACTTTCATATGAAAGAGAGCATTTTTCAGTTTGTGATTGTTGATTTTTTTTTCTTATTTTTTTTCTATGGTGTTTTTAGGTCAAATCTTTTTTATTTGTTTAATTGAATGTCAAATTTTTTTTTCTTTGGATGATTTTAATGTTATATATTTTTATGTTAAATGAAATTTGGGTTTCGTGATTCTCGATATTGCATATTATTGTGAACATTTTTTTTTAATAATTTATCTTTATATGTTTAGATGTTTGATGAAAATCAAATTATTCTTTATAAAATCATAGTTTTTCAGTGCATAATTTGTATCTTTTTTAAGAGTATTTTGTTTTGTATGTTATTTGAATAAAATTGTTTGATTGATTTTTGTTGTCTCAGGATTTTTTCAAGCTATGGTATTATATTTTCAAGTTAATATGAATTGTAATATGTGTTATTTTTATTTATTTTATATTTTGATTTATTAGATTCTATGTATTGTTTTTTTTTTTTACATTGTATATTCGATTTTTGCTTATTAATTTATTCATCTAAAGTTGAGGTTTTTTTATTATTATTGAGTTTTATATTGTGTTTTTTTTGACTAATAGAGAAAATTAAATTATGTAATAGGAAAAAATATTGAATAAAAGTAGTTTTAAGGCAAGAAAAAAAGTATGAACATAAACAATTAAGTAATTGAATTAATTAGCAATAAAAGGGATTTATGAGTGTAAGGAATTTCCCAATTTTTTTTTTTTCAAATTTCCAAAAGGATACACCTTATGAAAACTTTGATGTCCATTATTTAGAGGGCAAGTATTAAGGACCATGGACTGACTTTTAGATGTATGACTGTGAGCTTCTCAATTAATTTAGAGTTAAAACCAATTAGAGAACCTCGATCTATTCCCAAAGACAATATGAAAATCATAGAATCATCTTCATCTAAAGAAAACCTTAAGTAATTAAATATCGTAATTCTCAGTTGAAATAAATAATTCATCGTTGGAAGTGAACAACTTAAATGTGAATGAGTAATATAAAACACCCTCTGTGTCAACACTAGTTCATCAATTAAAAAAATAAGCAAAGCAAAATTGATTATAAAAAGACAAATGGCGATAAACTAGTTTTTGAATCTCCAATTCCTAAGAATACATTCTCATCTGATGGTATACTTGCTCCATTTGTAGTTTCTGCAGCTTTACAAGTTCATCAAAGAAAAGTTATAATTCATAAAGTTGTTAATCAAGTTCAGAGACAGGTACTCCAACCTTTCAAGTTTTGAAGATATTTCATTCTCACCAATATGATTGAACAATTATAGTATAAACCCTGCAGATTATAAGGGCTTTTAAGCCTATTGCTAAAATATTTGGATCTTTTCAAAGTTATTAAGGTCGATGCTCAATATAGCAAGCTATGTACTTATCGAAGTAAGCTTGGCAAAGGCTGTACTTATTGAAGTAAGCTTTCAAATCTAACGAGGATCTATGCCTATTTTACTTTTCTCTTGAAAGGTTAACATTTTCTATTTAGTTTTATATTAATTAATATTTCGTTGTCAATTATTTTAATAAATTTTTATACACTTAACAATACTAAATTTATATTAAATTATTTTAAATAAATAAAATATTATAAATTAATTTAACACATAGAACGAAACTAGGCTTACACTAGTAAATTTTATTTTTGACATAAGGAGGTTATTTTCTAGGAGAATTAAATGCTCAGGCAAAGATAAAAGATTTTTTATACAAATAAAAACATTATATGTACTAAAATTCAAAATTATTGAATAATATTTTTATCAATTAAATGAAAATTCACAAATATTTTGGATATCTCTATTCGGACATTGATTCTGAAGTACCACCTCAACACCGGCGTGTATTCGTTAATTTCTCTTGCCTTGTCTCGCGTCCATCGGATTTCCCAAAATAACCCTCGTGACTTCACGCTCTTTGACTCAAAAATGTCGGTGGCTTACTCTCGGAGAATGTCTGAGGCTAATTTTGACTATTTCTATCTATATTATTGTTCTTGCCAAAATAGTACACTAAATACTTTGATCGTCAGTTCGTCGCAAGGGAAACCGCATCTGCGGCGCGTGATTCTCTTTTGGGGTTAATAACAGTAGAAAAATAAGCAAATTATGGAGGGAATCCCAAAAACTCAATAAATTCAAATCTTGTTTTGGTTTCATCATAATTGATTCCGACAAAAATTCAATCAGAAAACATTTTTTAATACCATAAAATCTTTTAATCACCTTTAAATGGAATTTAACACGTGACAGAAAGTGGTCAACCATTTTTTTTTGAGATTTATTAAATGGATTTTATTAAAAAGTCAGAATTAATTACTAAATGTTCTAAATATATTTCTTTCACCGAGCAACTAAAATATCAATTAAAAACTGTTTCAGTAAATTTCAGTTGACCGCTACTTTCCTGTTCCTTTTTTTGTAACTATTTTTTAAAGTATTATTTTCATTAAAGAAATTTCTTGTAAATGAATATTTCAAATGAAAATATTGTAGTCATTAATTGAAATATATATTTATGCATAGATCATAGTTAGAATATAAAATTATGATAAGATATGATAAAATAATAATATAAATTAAATTAAATTAAATAATATCATTTTATTTTATTTTATTTATATATAAATATTATAATAAGATAATTTATTTATTGATCAAAATTATTAATTTTTAAAATTTATATAATATAATTTTTAAAAATATAATAAAACTTATAAATTTAATATTATAAATTAAAAATAATCGTTTTTACTTTAAAAGAAATGAATTATTTTATAATAAAAAGATGATAATTTTTTTTTGTAATCTTATTTTTTTAGATATAAATTAAATATAATATAAAATAATAATTATTTTATTATATTAATCTTATATGTATCAAATACGATCTCAATATCATTGAATTTCAATTTAGTTATTATATATTTAATCTGCAATATTTAGAAATATCATTTTAATGTATAGGTATTTAAATAAAACAAAATTGATATGCTTCGCCATTTAAGAGTGTTACTTGTTAGACAATGTAGAACACGCTTCCAAATGGAGCGTGACCGGTGCATTCTAAAAGACTTAAACTAAAAAAATTTGAAAAAAACAAAGAAATCATTTCATTTTTTAAAAGAACTTTTTAACACATTTTGGTTTGTTAGACAGATCGGCAGATCGCTTTGAACATTCTCGAGCATTGCCTGCATTTTCGCGTGTGATGAATTATTCGCAGATATTTCTTTTTTTTTTTTAGAATAATAAATTATGTTTCAATTTTTCTTCTGTTTTCTTTTTAATCGCACGCGAAATAACTACGCCAAACCCAGAAGAAAAGTCGATAGAAACTTACCATTTTTACACGCGCTGTACGATGATTTTATTATTCTAGGGTTAGGGCTCATGTCGTTGCAGGTCGTTGCTGAGATTTATTAAAATTTAAAAGCAGTAAGTATAAAAGAAAAAACAGAGAGAGATAGTCTGTCATTGTCGGAACTCCGCAAAGTTGTCTTTATTTTTCAAGATTTTCTTTGTAATTATGAACATAATCCTGTAATAATACAATTCCTTAGTTGCTGTTTTTCTATTTGGGTGTAAAATCTTTTGTGGGTCAAGATTTGGTTATTTGTTAAGCAAACAAAGAAAGATTATCAATTTTTTTTCTCTGTTTTGTCCTTTTGAATTTTTATTTGGACAGACACAGCGCTGTCGTGTTTCGTGTCTTAAAAAAAGTGTGTAGTTTAATGTAATGTGTCTAAATTTCGATTTGGTTTTTCTGAAATCATATTTTTTATTTTTATTTTTTGAGAAAATCAAAATCAACGACGTGTTGAGCTGTTACTGCCTTTTTCCCATCTCTCTCTTTCCATCTCCTTTTGCAAGCTGTAATTGAACGAGAAGAGCTTGCTCGGCACTTCCTTAAATTTCCCACCTCAACAGGCTGAACTGAGAAGCTCTCTCTCTGTCTCTTCAAAACCCAAAGTTTTTTTTTTTTTTTTCTATAAGTTTCTTTCGCCATGATTTAGAGAGAGACGCCCTCGCTTCTTTGCTTTTAGCAAAATCCACGCGTCTGTATCTCCCCTTTGTTTGCTTCAACAATGGCGCCGTCCTTTGATTGGTGGGCAAAAGGCAGCCATAAAGGAACCCCAGTGGTTGTCAAAATGGAAAACCCAAACTGGTCAATGGTCGAGCTCGAAGGTCCATCTGAAGAGGATTTCCTTATCGGCGACACCCCAACCGGTGGGCGAGAAAAAGCGCGTGGCAAAAACGCGAAGCAACTCACTTGGGTCCTCCTTTTAAAAGCCCACCGCGCTGCCGGTTGCTTAACCTCCATTGCCTCCACATTGGTCAGCCTCGGTTCAGCCATCCGTCGCCGAGTCGCCTCTGGACGAACCGACACCGACAACGACACTGAAACCGACAGCACTTTCTCCAATGAAAACAAAACCGTTAAAACAAGGTTCTATAACTGCATCAAAGTGTTCCTTTGGTTATCTTTATTGTTACTCGGTTTCGAGATCGCCGCGTATTTTAAAGGCTGGCATTTTGGTACTCCAGAGCTTCAATTACAGTACATATTTACGGCATCGTTTGGTGTTAGAGATTTGTTCGATTGGCTATACTCTCGTTGGGTTTTGATTCGGGTGGAGTATCTCGCTCCTCCTCTTCAGTTTCTTGCAAATGTCTGCATTATTCTTTTCCTTATCCAAAGCATGGATAGGTTAGTTCTCTGTTTGGGTTGTTTTTGGATCCGTTTCAAAAAAATCAAGCCAATTCCCAAGCAAGAAGCTATCGCAGATCTTGAATCTGGAGAAAACGGTTTCTTCCCAATGGTTCTCGTTCAGATCCCTATGTGTAACGAAAAAGAGGTAAAACAAGAAAAACAAAAACTTTTTTCATCATTTTAAAAGAAACTCTTTTTTTAATTATGGTTTAATTTTAATTCTTTATTTGCAGGTTTACCAACAATCAATAGCTGCTGTTTGTAATTTGGACTGGCCAAAGTCGAAAATTTTGATTCAAGTGTTGGATGATTCTGATGATCCAACAACTCAGCTGCTTATTAAAGAGGAGGTGCATAAATGGCAACAAGAAGGTGCCCACATTGTGTATCGGCACCGTGTAATTAGAGATGGCTACAAAGCTGGTAATCTTAAATCTGCCATGAGTTGTAGTTACGTTAAAGACTATGAATTTGTTGCCATTTTCGATGCCGATTTCCAGCCCACCCCCGATTTCCTCAAACGAACTGTTCCCCATTTTAAGGTAATTAAATTAACTGCTTCTGTTTTGAGTTGGGTACAATTTAGTCAATTCAAGCACAAAATAATTATGTTTAGGATTAGTTGAAGTGAAATTTTTTTTTTGGTTATATGCTTACAGGATAATGAGGATTTAGGATTGGTTCAGGCAAGGTGGTCATTTGTGAATAAGGATGAGAATTTGCTTACAAGACTGCAAAACATAAATTTGTCATTTCATTTTGAGGTAGAGCAACAAGTGAATGGTGTTTTCATTAATTTCTTTGGGTTCAATGGGACTGCTGGGGTTTGGAGGATTAAGGCTTTGGAGGATTCTGGTGGGTGGTTGGAGAGGACTACAGTTGAGGACATGGATATTGCCGTTCGTGCTCACCTACAAGGATGGAAGTTCATTTTCCTCAATGATGTTGAGGTATAGCTCTAGTGTAATCTGTCCTATTAGTAGTTGAATTTTGCAGCCATTCACTTTCTTGGGAGTTAATGTTTTTGGTTTTTGTTATGCTTTCAGTGTCAGTGTGAACTTCCTGAATCGTATGAAGCTTATAGAAAACAACAGCATAGGTGGCACTCTGGACCCATGCAGTTGTTCCGCCTCTGTTTGCCAGATATTATCCGTGCTAAGGTGCATACTTTTTCAAACCTCTCTTTGCTTAAACCAGCAGTTATGTTAAATTCAATAATGCTTGAGAGCGATCCTGATTCCTAACTTTGTTCTTGTTCTTTATTTTGATTAATGCAGATTAGTGTGTGGAAGAAATTCAATATGATCTTTCTGTTTTTTCTGCTTAGAAAACTGATCCTGCCATTTTATTCTTTCACTCTTTTCTGCATAATTCTCCCCATGACCATGTTCGTTCCAGAGGCTGAGCTTCCAGCATGGGTTGTCTGTTACATCCCTGCTACAATGTCATTTCTCAACATCCTTCCAGCCCCAAAATCCTTCCCATTCATTGTCCCTTACCTTCTCTTTGAGAACACCATGTCAGTGACTAAGTTCAACGCCATGGTCTCTGGTCTTTTCCAGCTTGGTAGTGCGTATGAGTGGGTTGTTACAAAAAAATCTGGTCGATCATCTGAGGGCGATCTTGTCTCCTTGGTTGAGAAGGGGCCAAAACATCAACGTAGGGGATCAGAACCCAATCTTGATGAAATGAAAGCAGATCTTCAGCAAGAACAGAAGGCTACGAAAAAGAAGCATAATAGGATATATACGAAGGAGCTAGCTCTGGCATTCCTTCTTCTAACAGCTTCAGCTAGGAGCCTCCTGTCTGCACAGGGTATCCATTTCTATTTCTTGCTATTTCAAGGGATATCCTTCCTTCTGGTTGGTCTAGACTTGATTGGTGAGCAGGTTCTCTAAAGGACAGATTAGGGACTTCGTAGGAAAATGTGAAAGACATCAAATAGAAATTGTGTTACATGGACAGAAGAATGGCCTCAATTTGGACATAGGCTCACCTTAAAATGGTGATACTCTTCAGTATATGTAAGGGTTTTTTTTTTTTTTTTGATTCTTTTGGTTTTCTGTCAATTCTTTTGTAAGAAAAAATTGTTGTTCAAAGATCAAACAGGAATTTACTTAAGAGCAAGGTAGAACATTGATCCCTTCTCCTTTTTCACTTATTTTCATGAGGATGATAATGGTGCTGATTTCGATTCAAGCAAATCATTTCACCAGCCCACCACCCCCCCCCCCGCCGGCCCAACTTTTTTCTTGTTGTTTTATTCACATTTAGCTATCGGGGTTTTTATACAATCTAACCTTTTGTTTCACCAAATCCAGGAAAAAGTTTAAAGCATACCTGTCTTTATTTGGTAAGGAAACTTCGATCTTTCATCACCCTTGTTTGCCCTTCATATTCGGACAACTAACTCTCGTTAGTCTTTACAAACCTTTACCAAACCCTCTCCTGATTTCATGAACAAAAACCACCTTTGTAATTATGTTTGAATAAGTTTCTTAAAAGGATCTTAAAGAATGAACCTTTTTCATTTCTCAGCACTTTTCAAGTGTGCAAATGGCAGTGTATTATTTTAGTTTAAGCATTTACTTTCTGTCTAAAGTCTTCGGTTTCCTTATAACAGATTTAGCCTTACAGTTTAAAATTAACCAGAATTTAGATGGAGACATTATCCAGGAATTAAGATTGAGCTTAAATCTTGCCCTACCACTAAGCAATTACTGCTCATAAAGTACGTCCTTAAGTAGATGGGAAGCACATGGGGGTCTCCATTGTCTGATTCTTGAGTCGTGGGGCCCTAGCCCATCACCAGAGCTGGCTCACCGACTTCATTGGTCGGAAGCAGCAGGACCACACTAGGGTATGGTCCGTATGGACCCCCTGAAATCAGTTTTCGTCCCTAAGCATCTTCAAAAAATACATATTATATTTTCCCACAATGAATTTCTCCAGGAAAGGACAAGAAAATTTTGAATTGATGTGTTTGAAGAAAAACTGAACATTTTTTCGAGGACAGATGATGATAGAGTATGTGTGTAGTCAATCAACGTTTATTTGGAGAATGTTTTTACGGTTTTTACATTCTCAAGGGAGAGAGAGAGAGGCACTTGAAATTCCATGAAACTGAAATCTGAAAACCATGGTCCAGCAGCCAGCAGCTACAACATCCGTGAATTGATGGGCATGTGGCATTTGTTTCTCGTGGGATCCCCTTTTTACGTTAGGCTTTCGTTCATTTGGTTTGGCTTTGGTCCCATAAAAATAATATCTTCCATTCCCAATTTTTTAATTTCCTTTATTTTCCAATCTAGTTTGAATTTCTTTGCTCTTTTGTCTTTTTAAATTCCCGTTTTTAAAAAAGGGCGTGTATCAAAACAAATCGAGTACACCAACGAGAAATGTAACAAAAATTATTATTATTATTATTTTCTTTCTTCTTCATACAACATTGGTTTTGTCATTTCGTCATTTGTTGAATTTGTAAAACATGGACGTCAGGGCCAGCCTTGGGAATATGGGCAAATTTCATGCCATTTGTTAACGCTCCTCCTGCAATCTTTCAGGCAAATTTCAAAACAATGACATGGTATAAGAGTGGATAGAGTAGGAGAGTCCATGAATGAGCGTCCTTAGTCGTAACTCTATACATAATACTTTTTCTTGATCTTCAATTAGTTCTAAATTTTTTGAAAAATTTTCAATAAATTTGTATGATTTATTGATAAAATATTAAAAATTTAATTTTAATGATAAAATTCAATTGCCGCAAATATAAAAAAAAATTTTAATTTTTGGTAGAATCTTGAGCATTATTTTGTTGGCTATTTTAAGAACATATTTTTTTTGTTTTGAATCTTGTAAAATCGATATCCTATTGATATGTTTTGTTCATTAGCATCCCAATCCTACTCATCTATAACTTTGAAAATCTAGCCTAGCACGCTTCCAAAATAATTGCTAGCCCAAGAAAGTAAAATAACAGAAATAATAATACCAATTATACGGAATTTCTACTAATAAAAAACCAATTATATAGAAGGCTACCAGTTTTATTCATGCCAATGAATAATAAATTGGTCCTTTGTCCAAAAATAATTAAATGTTGATTCAAATATTTTTTTTCTTTCTACCAATTTTTTAAATCAAGTTAATATTAAAAATATAAAAATATATATACACCCTACATAATTTCTAATAAAAAATAAATTTAAAATATTCTTTTCCAAATAAAAGAAAGAAAATGGGCTTTTTTCGGCCCGTTAGAGAAATGGATCAATTGGCCCCAGAAAAAAGATTTTATGTGCAGATATACTAAATTTCTAAAAATGGGCTGACTTTTTCCGCTAATTCCGGCTTCTGTTGGCCAACAGCCCGAAAACCGCTTCAGTTGTTTCTTTCAATTCTTCTTCTTCTTTTCCTTTCCTGATGATCAGTTGTTCCCAGTCCTTATAATTCCTGATATTGTGTCGTATAAAATATTATATTTATATAAAATTTTATATAAAAATTATATATCGATATAAAATATAAAATTTTAATTTTATTAAATTTATTTATAATTTTTTTAAAATTTTAAGTCGTGTTATTTTGTATCTTTTATTCATATTATTTTTATATTGTATTATCATATCGTATTTTAAATTACTAAATGTAATTGATCCTTACTTTAAATTACTAAATGTAATTGATCCTATCTACGAAACCATAGCCAAATACTTTTGTTTTTCTTTTCATGTTTCGTTTGTTCACATATTTGGGCAAAAGTAGCCAGGGAAAGAGTTATAATTGTACCCTAAAGCTTCATAATTGATACTTTATTCTAAGCCTAATTACAAGAGATGGCAATTCATAAATATTTTTTTTGAATTCTCATTTACGTTATTAATAACTGCTTTATTTTAAACCAAATATACTCGTGGTAAGAAAATAACAAAGGAAAATGAAAATTTCTTTACAAGATAATTTTCTTAACACCCCCTACAAAATACCAATTAAAACTCAAAATTCCATCAACCAACTCTTGCTTTGTTGTTTTAATATACATGATTTGTAATTCTATCGAGTTATATTCCTCGGCTAAAAATTCTGATAACAAACAGTTAGGAACTTAAAAACTGGCCCGGGAAGGAATGTATTGGACAAAGCCTAGAAATCCCTTGACGCTAAAATTAACCAAAAAAAAAAAAACCTGTACAGCTGAATAATCCTGGTTTTTCCTTCTTTCGCCACTTCACCCTCAATTTTTTCCCCAATTTTCTTCTCTAGATGAGTTTATCTGCAGTCAACTTGAAACATTGGATTGCTTGGGTTAGAAGGAACTAAAAGCCTTTTTATTTCAACTTCTTGCACGTATCAAAGCTCTGATTTTAAACGACCTGCTGAAAAATGGTAAAGGCTTAAGGTGAGAAAATGGAGAACCAAGTTAGAAAATTTAACTCAAATACTTCAATAAATACCATTTGGTCCCAAACTGTCCATGGCTGAACTGGAATAAAATCCCATTTGAAAAAGATTTTGCAGCTCATTGTCTAGTACAGTCTGTAATCAACAGAAAAGTGTCGAATCAATATTCTGATGAGCAAGAGGTGAGAAAGAATGATATTTTTCACATCCTTTAATACCTGAGGCAAGGGAGAGAATTGTGGATTTGTACTTGGGATGCCTGACATTGTTCCCTGAAAGATACCAGGGGAGAAAGAATGAGAGGAGTTTATCCCCGGACGAAATCCGAGAACTGCAGCAGCACTTTCACCTCGTGAATGAAGAATCTATATAGGAGGGAGAGTCAGGATTCATATTGCTTCCAATATATCAAATCATAATTGATTGTATAATTTCTCAATTTATATTGGAAGAATAACTTACTTCTTCAGATAGAATTCTCTCTAAATCAAGGTTTAGCTCTGGGTTAACAGTGGCAAGTTTCATTGACAAAAACTGAAAAGAAAAAGTACGTAAATACATCATTGAAATTTAGTATATTTTGATCCAAGTAACATTGTTACAAGCACTGATTCAATGATAATATATCATCAAATTCATTCATATTTGTAATTAAGTATGGCATGGTTCTCAAATTCAAGTCCTAAACCTTAGTATAATAGTGCAAAAACCGGAATGTAACATCCCCAAGGGAGGAGCCCATATTTAGTTACCAGCCCAATGTAAAAATGAAGTTGCCCGAAAAAAGGTGTCACCAAATCATGGAAATTTCAATCAAGGATTGAAATTCCATTAAAATTTCTTATCAAGGAAACACAAAGTTAAGCTGGTTATCCAATTGAAGAAAATTTTCCCCTAGATTTTGATTCAAAGTTCTCGTTTGGCTTCTTGATTGTATTAGTGTAGACTAAAAGGATTATCCCCCAATAGCATCTAAGGGAGCTCAAGCGCATGATGATTTTCATTGAACTTGTTATACTGTTATGAAAAACTGAAGCACAAACACCTAGTTACAATCATGGTATCATACCTCAACCTGCTGTTGCAGTGACTGGACATAGTTGATAATCTCGTCAAGCATTACAGCTTTCCCAGTAATCTAAAACAATGACACCACCTCAATTAATCAAAACTCCCTTTTATTTTGAAAGAAAGAGCCTAATATGATGCTTTTTCACCTCTACTAACCTTACTGCATCCTGGTACAAGTTCTTGAAGCAATCTCATTCTCTCACTTATCTTTTCCCGTCTGACCTGCAAACAGGAAATTTCCAGATTCAGTAAGAAGTTAAGAACACAAAAACTGTTCATTCAATATGAAAACAGGAAGTTACCCTTTCTGCCAGGCTGTGACTATTTGTAGCCTGACCCCTTCTTGCTCTCACATGGACGTAATTTTCTTTATGAGCTTCTCCAGTTTGAGAACTGTCTTTAGCTTGTTTTGCAACTTGCTTACCACGTGAATTTGCGCCCGCATTTTGTTCAGATTTCTGTTTCTTCCCATCCTGTTCTTTTGGAACATCACAGCCCTCTCTGGAAGGATCCTTTCGAGGCTCCTCGTCAGCATTCTAATGCAAATAACAAAGCCAATTTCATGTCTGTGGAGTCATAGATTGTCATATTGCTTCAAAGTTTTGAAACTATTGTGATCATATAATCAGATTAACAATATACCTGGTATGATCTTAGTTGAGAGTTTGACTCAAGGGCTCGTTTTCTGCTCTTTCCATTGGGCGGAGTGCCTACAGCTCGCTCTTCTGAGATTTGGTGCTCACCAAGAGATTGTGTACAATTTGTTGAAGCCCTTTCATTGCCAACCTTGGGGTTTAGAGCATAATTTGGGGGGCACCTGCTGTTGGCAATCTGGCTGCATTGCGGTAGACTGAAGGGACCAACCATTTCTGACAAATTTCCACTACCAAAATCCGAAAGCTTTGGCACCAGCTCAACAAAGCTTGGATTAGATTGAATCTGGGAAAAGTGGGAAGTGCCACTAATGCCCTGATCTTCCATTAGAAGAGGGTAATGAGAATTGGCAAATTCAGTGTGAGAAACCATTGAAGAACCTCCAAGGCCTTCACTCTGACTCAGTGAAACAATTGGATCCCAACCAGAACCAAAGAAAGGATCCGGTGCCTTTGATATTGAATTCATTGATCCATCAACTTTGTCAGACAAGTGGTTCGTGTTCATCTGTGAAGGTGGACAATTCATAAGGCTCTGGCGTCTGTGTTTAAATCCCACATCATCATTATCACCAGTAGACATGCTCTAGATTCCAAAGCTATACCCCAAGTCTAAGGAAACTCAACCTATCTATAATTGCAAATTTGAAATCAATCCCTGCTCAACAGCTGAACTAGACTGGGCTAAGAATAGATATTTAACAGAAGGGAAGTAGCATAAAATTAGAGGAAAAGTTGGTTTGACCAAATTAGCTGGGGATATCTTGCAGACTGAACAAGGAACAAGTAATCATGGCAGCTTTATAGAACTGAGGGGATGTTAAAGTAAAAGAAACCTCTCATTGCAGCATCCTAGAGACACAAAGTAAAAGAAGAAATCAATGCATCAGGCCCAAAATCTTACAGGGACCAACTGTTGACCTCTTCTACCAAAAACCCTAGGATCAAGTCCACTCGGCTGTAAGGCAAAAAAGAAAATGCTTCCCACAGACAAGAAAGTGAACCTTTCAGAGCATAAAGTGGACGTAGACAAACGATGGCATTAGCTAAGTAACAGCTCAACAGTGTAATAAAAGGAAAGCAGATTCCCTTTTTCCTTTTAACTTAGAGAAGAACTATTTTTTTAACAATCTCAAACTCTATTAAACATCAATGTGATTGATTATGTTAAGCAGTTTTGAATCTCTTCAACTCAAACCCAATTGAGGCGGATCAACTCAAGTCCTCAACTTGCAATCAAGTTTCGAACCACGACCTAACAACATTCCAAGAACCAAGAAAAGGAATTTGGAGAAACCCTTTTGAGATATTCTCATAATGGTATCCAAAAAAAAAAAAAGCATCAAATTCTAACTTGAATTAGACAAGGACTGCAATGGGGCAGAGTCTCATTCACAGTCCCCCAAATTGGGTGTTTGACAGTACCTCTAAAAGCATCAAATGCTAAGCTTAAATTCTACAAGAGGAAACCAAATTCACCAATCACCAATTTGGCACTTGCACGAAACAGCAAAAAGAAGCATCAAATTCCAACCTTTTATGTTCACCCTATCAAACATGCAAGAGAGCTACAAGCCTAGAGAGATAAAGCACATAAGAGAGAGTGAAGTCAGAAAGAATGATAAAGATTGAAACTTTGCTTACCTGCCCAAGCTTACAGGTGACATGTATGTATGTATGTTCTTAAAAGACAGCCTAACCACTGCCAACTGTTCTCGTTCCTAAATAATTACAGAACCTAAGCTCCTTTCCTTTTCCCCTTTGTAAATTTTTTATCTTTTTATTATTTATAATTTATTTAACACTTTTTTCCTTTTTAATATTTTACAATTTTTATCTCAGATGAGATTGCAGAGGTTCTTCTCTTCAGGGCCAAGCTTGCTTGCTTCCTTCTTTGATATTATACTTTCCTTGCTTTTTCTTTTTTTTTTTTTTCCTGACACATTTTGCCATCAATTCTAACAGAACAGACCTCTCTTTACCGTTACACACATGTTTCTCTCTCACTGCCAACTAACTCTCTTCATTTCTTTTGGGAAACTCTCACACCTAAGCTCCATCATTCTCCATGCACCACCACCCTTTGCCCATCATTTGATTCACATTGTCCCCACCAAATCTCCCTTCTACACCATCCAATCTAATCTGTGGATTGGGTTCTATCCCATAGACTTCCCTCTTACGCGGATCAAAGATGCCATTTTGCTTGACGGGTTCATGCTGATGAAGTCACCGATATGATAGGTGTCTAGTCTTGATGGATCCACTCAACGAAGATACTTTCGGAGCATATTAACAGTATTTTTAATTAATTAATCAATTAAATAACACCTGCAGCCATCTTTTCTATCGTTTCTTTTCCATTTTGAGGAACGCAAGGAATCTAATCATCAATTTTACCTAATTGTCCTGGTACAGGTTTCCAGCTGTAGCTGTTGCCCTACTCGGAAAAGCCACTCAACAACCAATTTGGTCAACTTCAGGTCCTGGTTGTGATCTTGCTGGAAAAAAAAGTGTAATGAAATCTATTATTGTTGGCGAAATCAACGGGTAATTTGCTTAGAGTTAAATTCTATTTGCAAGAACTCATTATCCAGCGTAAAACACCCTCACTGTTGAAATTGAGTTGGTTATGGAACGTGTTACATGAAAAGTGCTGTGATTTGATGATTCGATTTTGATGTGGAAAGAGGGCCCCACATCAAGGACTGGATAGTCAAAAATAGTGCGGCGATGGTATGATTGAGATGGTACACCTAACTCACCTATGTGGGCACTCACACCAAATCATTCTTCTGGGTACCAATGAAGAGTGGGGCTGGCAATGAGGTTGGAGAATTGGAGAAGAATGATGTGCTGCTAATTGTTTGTTCTCTAGCAATAGAAACCAATGGTAATGAATTTGTTAAATATCATGAAATTTTGCTTTATAAATGCAATTAGATTATACAATGAACTCCAAACTTACAGTCATAAAATCTATAAAAATTTAGAAGGAAGCCAATGTTGTCATAAAAAGAATGATTAGCCAAAATTACATAGATATAGTCTTACATTAATATTATTTTTTTAAAATATCGCATTAATAAAAATAATTCATGTTTGTACGTACCCTTTGGAAATGTAATTATCAAAATTTCAAAAAAACAAATATATAATTACCTATTAGAAAACAAAACCCTTGAACCACCAACACCGATGGACTGGTCTTTTGGACAGTTTAAATTCAAGGGCATTTCATATAATTTTTTTATTATAATTTTATAATTATTCAATTATAAAAAAATTATGTAAGAGTATATTATTTATGAGCGTAAATTTTATATAAAATTTTGATAAAATTTATATAGTTTTAAATTATAATAATTAATTTATTATATTATCACTTAAATTTTTTATTTATTCTTTAATTTGATTATTGCATGTGTTTAACGTAATTAATTATTAATTTTTCAAAAATAAATCTACTTTCATAATATATTAAATGAATTTTATTAAAATTAATATTTAGATTCAATTGTTTAAATAAAATCTGAATTTAACGCCGCAGCCCTCAAGCGACCCCGCCATCACGCGTGCGGCATGCGCCGAGCTCGCCCATCTTGACCCTACCCTTCCGTTCCCTCTGGTCCTGCCTAATTAGCAACAATGAGATGGGATAGCTCAAGTGAAGAATCTCGTAAGATTTTTTACGTCACCAGAATTTTTTCTTATGCCGTTAAAAATTTAACTTGGTTCCTTCTTTAATTTGCTTTAAAAAGTTTACACCCCATTCTTGATGCTGCTGCGTCCTCGTCACTCTTTTTCTGCTAATAAGATTTATACTTTCAAAGAAGCTTTAAGCTTTTTCGTCTCTTCTTTACACAAAGTTGCCACAAACCTCCTTCTTTCCCAATTACACAAAGCCAGAAAATGAATTCTCAGTTTCTTAGTAGAATAATATAAGTGGACGGTTTGAAGGTGGAAACCATAGTTGTTAGATTAAAATGTGTGTTGTGAGTGGAAATTTTATTTTGAAAATTGAATATCTCGAGTATTGTATTATAAGATATGATAAATTAATTTTAAAATTAATTATAAACAATATATATACATATAAAATAAACAAAAAATAAAAAATATTACACATATTAATAGAACTGAGTGATTTCGTATAGTTAGGGGTGTAAATGATATATTAATACTCATAAACTACTCGGATTTGATTCGAAAAAAACTTGAATTCAGTTCGATTATTATCGAGTCGAGTTCGAGTTCGAGTAACTCGACTTATCGATCGAGTCTAATCGAGTATTCTTATATCTGACTCGAGTAGTTTGCGAGCCTAATCGAGTTTTTATATTTAAATATATTTTTATTATTTTAATTAATAAAATATTTCGAGTCCGAGTTCGAGTTCGAGTCCGAACATGAATAATCGAACTTTTATCGAATATACGAATCGAACTTATTTTTATATATTAATCGAGCTTAATCGAGCGAGCTCGAGTAGTTCGAATTCGATCATGAATCGAGCTCGAGCTTGAGCTTAAAAAATAAAACTCGATCAAGCTCGAGTCGAGTATCGAGCTCTGAGTTGTGAGTCGAACTCGAACTCGAGCTTCTCACTATTCGACTCTACTCGATTCGATTACACTCCTACATATAATTACATGAATATATCATTTATATATATTTTTATATAATATTATAATTATTTCATTAAATTAAAGATTTATATAGGGTCTACTATTTGTACGTTAGTATTTCATGTAAAATTTTAACAAATTTTATATAATTTTAAATTATAATTAATTAATTATATTACAATGATATAATCATACTATAAAAAATCACTATTCGACTCTACTCGATTCGATTACACTCCTACATATAATTACATGAATATATCATTTATATTTTTTTTTTATATAATATTATAATTATTTCATTAAATTAAAGATTTATACAGGGTCTACTACTTGTACATTAGTATTTCATGTAAAATTTTAACAAATTTTATATAATTTTAAATTATAATTAATTAATTATATTACAATGATATAATCATACTATAAAAAATAATTTACGATTAGTTAAAGTTAATTGGTTGCATGATGGGGATTTAGATAGAGTAAGCATGCAAAGTATGAAATCTCCCGTACCTTCCAATGAGAGCTGAGAGAAGCATGCGCATAGGAGAAGTAATATCATAATCAATTTTCCTTTTAACGTATTAAAGCAGAGAGGACGCTGTTAAGGAAACTGAAGACATTAATGATGCTTTTCTATTAAATGCAAAACTCATTGAACCCATGACGGCTCAGCCCCGATAATCATTCCAAGTCATTGATGTCTTCCACATAAAGAAGCTTCAACCGTGTTTCACTGTGAAATCAAAAGGACTAGAAAATTTGTCGGAAAATAAAAACCACAACTACAAGTCATTATCAAAAAGAAAAATCAGTAGCTGCTATTCCAGGCATCAAAGACACATTGGACTAAGGTCTCTTTTTAACTTTCCAATGTTTAAAACAGGCATGGATCTACCAACTATTTGTGAAAGAGCAACTTATAAACTATTACCGTTGTCAAAATCTGCGTACTAAACATAATCATAAGAATGGTAAAAGAAAATGTATAAAGAAACATAATGATGAGTTCAGAAGATGGAAGAAAATCAGGTACTTGAGTTCCTGATGTTATAGCCATAGCAGCATTAAGACTAGTAAGACCATATATTGCAAATCTTTTAATATTTCTAGATAGAATTATAATACAGGGACAATGTTCATGTCAGAAATAATTTCGAATCTCGCACCAATCTACCATATCCCAAACTTCAAGCTTGTTGCGTCTCTCTGGAATGACGTCCAGATAACCTGAAAACTAAAACATCCTCGATATAATTTAATTAATATAATGTAAGTCCTCAATGAAAACTGCAGTCTGCCCTGGTCTTGGATTTGGGAGGTCTCCCCTCACTATAAACTTTTTTGAACAGAAAAAAAAAAAAATCATCAATTCTGATACTTGCAAATTTTCCACGTAACCCCCCCCCCCCCTGGCCCTGCCATAGCCTGGTGATGAAGAAATTTCAGCTCCTGGAGCTTCATGCCTCAGTAGCCAATGAGCTAAGATATAACTGAAGTCAGCCATTTAAAACATGTCCTGATAGGTGATTTTGAAAGTAAACTCCATAATCATTAGTCATTAGTCTTGAGTGAAATTTTGGATCACATTTAAATCTACAGAATGTCGCTTTCTAACATTGGTTGACATATAAACAAATGCATAACACCTAGGGAAGCTGAAAATCAGGGTCGTCTTCTAATTAGTCATACTGACAAGGTCATGGATTGATGGTCATTCACTTCTTCTGCTGGCTGCCACTTCACAATTAATCATCTGCAAAACGAGCAGCGTTTTGTTAATGTCATGGCCTCGTGCCTCGCAGCGCAGTGGTAGTGGGTGGCTGCAAAAGGAAAGCTCGCGATAGACACTTAAATAGTTAGCATTCCTCAGAAACTACTGGGGTTATGGCAAAGTCATTAAAAAAAATGTAGCAGTAAATAAATAGTAGGTTAGACATTGAACAATCGTGCGTGCCCCATTAGAAAATCTCAAATGAGCTGGATCAGTAGATTCTTTCTGGACTAGATTTGAGCCTAGCTGGTTATTATTTATTGACTATTCTAGATTTGTCTCTCAAGACCTCAAGCAAGCTTATTCAAATAAGAATGGTTACTTCAAAAAAAAAGAGGTCCATTATTCTGCTTTGTGTATTGGCTCATTTGTTTCAATTTTCAATAAACTGCCGAACAGACGACAGTGTAAAATTGTTTGTTGCCTTACAAGAAAAGGGAAATTATTGTACCAAAAATTTCAAATACAGGAAACCATATTCGACATAACAATGTCTTTTCATATTTGACATTGCCCTATACAGTAGATGGTGT